AGATAACAATTTCCTGAATTTCTGAGTTGCTGTGAGTTGCTGATCAGGATCATCTGAGAAAATCATCTGCACCATATCAACTGTAATAACTTCTTCCTAAAAACGAAATAGGGATTTTGTAGGACTAGTATAAACACATAAAGTTCTAAACATTCTAGAGTTATTACCTCTGGAATAGGTACAGTAGAGCTGACGTCAGGATCCTGAATTGGACTTTCCACCATAGATTCTTCATTTCCCGGGAGAGAAACATTTCGGCGTTTAAAGAGCTAAACAAAGAAGAAACGTGGGGGGAGTTTATCGCACAGTGGATACTGATTATTACTTGAGGACACTGGTTTTCACCTGTACCAATCAAAACGCTTCAACTCACCTTCCAGTTCATTCACACAAATGGAATTCTACTTTCAAGTTTTAAGAACGTAACAGAAAAAACACTGCTATCTTCAGCATCTTGATAAATAGCACTGCAACACTTCAGGCCAAAATTAACAAAACTGGAGGTTTTGAGCAAAGAAAAAATTTATAAATCTTTCAGACAACGGCGATGATGATACAAACCTTTTTATTTTCATTGTTTCATACTTCATAGTTTAGCATTTATTTTTAAGAGGGAAATAGCATTCTTTCTTAATTTTGAGGCATAAAACATCAACACAAAGGCAAAGTCTGTGTCAGCACACTGTACTCCACACTTTAAAAGAAAGCATAAAATCTCCTTGCATGCCAACTGAACAGTAGCTACACTTAGTATACAAGTTTATTTAGAAAACTAAAACTGTAGTTGGAAACAAATGACGTAGATTGAAGGCAAGCTTTCAAATTATGTAACCTTAAATGTTCTCTATATCCAAAAAACATTTGGTACTGGCTTCAAACACCACGTGTGTTTAAAATACATACCTGTGCTGCAGTATTTAATAAGCTATGCTTAATGAGTACCTCCTCATTTTCTAGCATGCAAACATAACAATCACGTTAGCCTGTTTACTCCCACAGACCAAACCTACAGTTAGTACCTTTAATTTACTACTACTCATAAAACTACAATCCTTAACAATTCTAAGAATATCATGTTGGTAACCTTAAAAGCAAATATTAGAATCTCAGACCACTGAGTGTCTCAGATTTCATTGGGAAGCATAATAATGAAAACTCCTGTTACGTCCTGAAGTAAGCGTTGTTCTCAAAGTTGCCTACAGACATTTCAGTATTTCTGTGGTCACAAGTGCCAAAAACTAAATGAGAAACACCATGTTTACATGTAGTTATATTTCAGATAGGAACCTAAAACAAAGCATTCTCTCCTTTGCTTGATCAAACTCTGGATTGAGCACAAACTTGGACCCTAACAATTGCACAGTCCTGAACACAAACAAGGTTTTAATTAAACCCACAAAAGGAAGAAGAATCAGTGTTCCTCTTTTAGAAAATCAGCCATTCTTCCTAGCACTCAACAATGCCATACAGGATCTTGTAAAATATAAATGATAAAAACGTAAACCATTTTTGCCCAAGAAGACACTCTCTCTACAATTTATAATTTATCTGGAGAAAACCAGACTCATTTCCCTGCACAAACTTGATCCTACCAATGCTAAAGGAGATGAAAACACCCATCCAACAATTATGGTCAAGGTATTCTCAACTATCACCACATTCAGCATGGGAAACAATGTTTTTCTCTTTGTTTGTTTTAATAAATTATTTACCTACGGAGCATTTATTACAAAATACACAGAACTTTCAGCAGGAACTGCAATTCAGAAGAACTCAATCACAGGTAAATGCTCCAGCAGCATACTGCTTCTTACTCTTACCTCTCTGGCCCAACTAATATAAATTCTTTTTCCATGCAGTAGCACCACTCTCCCAGGAGAAGGGTAAGCACTCCCACCTCAGAGGGGACTGTAGATCAGTGCCTGGGACACACTAGGTGGTGGGAGACAAAAGTCAGCCACTTTAGAGCGAGCAGAAGAAAAAACCATATTCCTCATTTTCCAGGCAATGAACTACTAAATATTTTGGGGAAAGGAATTACTACCAACTATGAAATTATACAGTACTCTAAACACTAAAAAATAAAAATCAAAATCAATAAAGACAACTTAAATATCGTATTAAAATATCTGTAATTTCATGTTTACAGACCACTATTTGTTGACCACTACACTACGCTATGATAGAAAAACTCTTGGGCAATTTGAAGTCCATTCCTCTCACTTCTAATAGTGCATCTCTGGCGCAAATTTTAGAAGAGAATGCAGGTTTTCCCATTCTTCCCAGAAATAAGGTTAGCCTTTCAGCTCAGTTTTCTGCTCACATATTGAAAACGAGACTAAGGACTCGATTTAAGACACAGGTCTCTACCTGAAATGCCACAGTGACTTACAGGGCTTGTGTCCATCTTTTTGATTTATAATTCTACCAAGAGGTGCCTTGTGCTCCCCAAGATTGCACAGAAAACACTTTTAATTTGGTGCTCTGACTTCTGCTTCACAGGAGGAATCTGCTCAAGTCCTTTCACATATCTGAATTCAACTGCATGAGCATTTAACAGTTAACAGCTCATCAGGATACTTACTTGTTCTTCCCTTTTCTGTTTCCGAAGCTGGATTCCTTCCTCTTCTCTTCGTCTGCGCATTTCTTGAGGATTAAGTGCATTATTTTTGTAGCTTTTCATTCTGAAGTTATCCTTCCCTGGGCTTGACATGATGTCTATTAAAAAAAAAAGAAAAAAAAAAAAGGAATTACTCACTTACTCCAAAAGGCCAAACCTTGAAAGGCAAACCTTCTATCTCTCATACTAAAAAAGTATCTAAAGCAACAGTTATATACTCCTGTAGCTGCTGGCAATACCCAGTTTACCAACAAAAATCTCCAAGAGAGAAATCATAGAAAAATCTTTGCCTCCACAGGCATTTCTGAACTGCAGATTAAACCACAGGTTCACTTCAGAGATCAGGCACCTCATAAGGGGCATAAGGAACCGCAAAATGAAGTTACTGATTTTATGAGCAAAATAAGACAATAAAAGCAAAACCATTATGTTGCTAAATTTTGACCTAAATTTGAAGGAATGTCTGTCACCATCAACAAATACAGGAATTTGCTTTCTTCTCTCGAAAACAAATCCCAGAAGAAAACCTGCTGTAATTACTGCTTCATTTAGTGCCTCACTGAATAGTTTCTTCATTACTTTTTTAATACCTATCACAGAAGTGCAAAGCAGGATCTAAAAGTTACGCTAAATTTCCTTTTAATCTGTATGCAGAAAAACTCTACAGGAAAAAAGAATCAATGGTTAATAACATCCAGACAAGTATTCCTTTGCAATTTTAAATTTAAAATAATAATAATAATAAAAATGACTCATCCTTAATTAACAGCTCTTTTGATGTACAAGGAAAATTAGAATCTGCCTGTCAGGCATATCAGCTGTGTAAAGAAGAGTGATACAACATGATTCTGCTACTGAAATGATCAAACTGACTGAAAAAGGTTGTGAACAGCCCAGTGCTAATATTCAAAGCCAAAACTGCAGCCTTCATTTGAAGAAATAACTGTCAAAACTGTGATTCAATACTCTAAGCAAACTCAGCTGCTTGGAATTATTTCACAAGGAAAGATGCATAAGCCTATCTGAACCATGGTCAAAGTTCTCTTCCCACTTCCATGCTGAGATTATTATTACTATTATTTTTTTTAATTTTGTTTAACATCAACAGTATCAAGGCCTGCTGAGTAATAAACACAGGCTGTAAAAAGCCAACAGCCCACATTGTTAGGCTGGCACCATCAGGACACCCGAGGGGTCAGCAAGCTGTTTCAACCAAACACAACTGCTTCATGAGAACCTTTACAAATTATTGCCATTTCTGGACACAGAGCTGCTTAAGACGCAGTATAAAGTCACTGTCTTCTAACTCACAGAGCTTCCAAAGTACAATTTAACGTGAAGAGCATTTTGTCCAGCAACTCTTGTGGCTTAACTAGTTCTCAAACACCGTCGCCTTCTTAATCACTCACACCTTGAGGAATGAGTTGGGCCAGTACACCTGCCAGGCCACACAAGGAACCAAAGGTGAGAAGACTGCATTAAAAGTAACTCCAAAATAACCCAAGCTCTACATAAGCGATTAAGCAGAAGGAAGCTCTCCTCAAAAAGAAAAGCTGCTGAAACCATAGCTGCGGCCCCTGTCCCACGAGGGCTTCGGAATAAGAACCAGAAGGGCAGACAGTCGAGCGGTGCTTTATCTACTCGGGCATCACGACTGCGTCCAGCCCACACTTCTGCTGCGCCCAGCTATGCCTGCGTTACCACCGACCCCCGCGGCCACCACATCTCGCACGCCGCCCACCTGTTGTGCCCCGGTTGCGGCCGCCCCGCCATAACCCGCCGCAGGGCTCCCCTCGCTGCCCCTCAGCGCCCGGAGCGCCGGAGAGACCGCGCGAAGCCGTCGCCCGGCCCAGAGCGCGCTGGGCGCCGCGTCAGATCCAGTCTCGCTCACTAGCTGCCCGGACGGAGGGCACCCGGCCCCGGGCTCTGCTTGCGACGCTTCTCGCCTGCGCCCCTTGAAAAGACGACGGAGAAGCGCTCTTGCCGGCGGCGGGAAGAAAGCAGCCCCTGTCCCGGCGCTGCGGGACAGCCCCAGCACCGTGCGCGGCATCGCCCCGCCACAGCCCAGCGCCTCCGGGCGGTCAGGAGCCCGGCTACGCAGCACGGGGCACCGCGCCCCGCCCGAATCCGAACGCGGCCTCCCCGACCCACCGGCTCTTACCCATCGCAGCGGGGACGCACGGCGCCCACTGCCCCCGAAGCCAGAGAATCCCGCCGCGCTTTGCGCGGCGCTCGGCCCCCAGCCGGAGCGCAAGATGGCGGCCACCACCCCACCTCGCGCCGCACTACCCACGGGCGGGCCTCGCCGTTCCCAGCAGGCCCCGCGCGGCGGCGAAGGGCGGGCGTAGCCTCCGCCGCCCCGGGAAGGGGACGGGGCTTCCGAGCGGACCGTTGGGCCGCCATGTCCGTGTGCGGTATCTGTGGACGGGTGCTGCCCTCGGAAGCGGCGGCGCGGCGTCACGTGAATCGCGCCCACCCGGACCAGCAGCCTCGCTGCCCGCTCTGCAGCGCCGCCGCCTCGGGCTACGAGGAGCTCTGCCGGCACGTGGAGGCCGTGCACCCGGAGCCCCAGCCGCTGCCCCGCAGCCCTGAGCTCGAGTGCCCTTTCTGCGGGGAGGCGGCGGGGCGCCAGCTGGAAGCTCACGTCAGGGCGCGGCACGGGCGGTTGCTCGGCGCAGGTGGGTGGTTCCCATACGGCGTGGCATCGCTGGTGTAACGCGTTGGCTGTGCTGACAGGGAAAAGGAATGATGTTAAGAATGCAGAATGTGAGGGTGTAATCGACGGCATGACGTGTTCTGCTGTTATTCTCCGTATTGTGCTGGAGTGCTCAGTACAGGAGAGACATAGACCTGATTGAGAAGGGCTACGAAAACCCGAGGGATGGAACACCTCTCCTCTGAGGGCAGGCCGAGAGATCTGGGGCTGTTCAGCCTCGAGAAGAGAAGGCTCCGGGGAGACCTGAGAGCAGCCTTTCAGTATCTAAAGAGGAACTAAGAAGGAAAGGGCTGTCTCCTCACCACAGGGTCTGCGGGGATAGGACAAGGGGAAATGGTTTCAAACTAAGAGAGGAGAAATTTATTTTAATGTTAGGAATAAGTTTTTTTTACAGTAGGGACAGTGAAGCACTGGCACAGGCTGTCCAGAGGGGTGGTGGAAGCTCTATCCCTGGGAGACACTCAAGGTTAGCCTGGATGGGGCTGAGCACCCTGATGGAGTTGTAGGTGTTAGTATTCCTCATGGGACAGTTGAATTAGATAGCTATTAAAGGCACCTTCCAACTCAAATGAGTTGGATTCTGAGGCTAGGTGACTAAAAGAGAGGGCACTGAAGGTTAAGTCTTTGTAGTGTGCAGTGGCAGGACTGCAGGCAGCAAGTGAAATAAAGAGCTACCACTGAAACATAAGAAAGCTGTTACTGGAACGAGAACATTGTGGAGTTTCTAACCTCAGAAAAGTGACTGGAAAAGACCCTGAGTGATAACCCTGAGCCATTTTGACATGACCATGGTTTGAGGATCCTGGTGATCTCCAGGTGATTTTCTGAACCTTAGCTGTTATATGCTACTCTTCATAATAACACTAAAAGTGCTGAAGAAACAGCTGAGGAAACATGACAGCATTGTAGTTTTTTTTTCTGCCTGCTGATTGCTGAGTTGTCATACAAGCATTAAGATTTTGTAAGCAAGTGTTCTTCCATCAGCAGGATGTATCTTTTCATTAAAGGTTTGATATTTGATTGGCATTTTGTAGGCCTTAATAAAAAATATTATAGCTAGTTGTGGTAAGTTTAATAGGGAAAATTTTGCTGAATAGGAAGAGGGAAAATATATCTTCGAACTTTAAAGGTATTTAAATATGAATTCATAAGTGGTTAAGAACCATAGCTATTAACCAAGGCATATGGTGCCTTCCACTGGAGAATTTCAATACCAGCATAATTCTTTTTGTTTATCTTGAGCTGCTGGGGGATGATTCTTACAAATAGCAGAAAAGGAGGACCAGGAACTGCATTAAGCAAGAAACTGTGTTTCTTTTTCAGACACAGAGAATGTTGAACAGCTATATGAATGTCCAATATGTGGTCTTACCTGTACAGACATTCAGATTCTCGAGGAACATGTGGATTTACACTTAGAGGAACACAGCTTTCCAGAAGGTACCTGAAAGGATGCAAGTGATAATCTTTGAAAATACTTGCATGTTGCAGTACAGAATCTCATACAAAATTTAAATGAAATATTTATTTATTTAAGAAGAGAACTGAATAGATTCATAATGAAGTTAAACGCAAGTTCGGTCACTTGCCCTTGTGCTTTGCTTAATTACATGTGCTATGAGAAGTGTCTTTCTATGTACGGTTATTCAGTATATGCTCTAAATATCAGGTAAAACTAAAACTTAGAAATATATTATAATTAAATATATTAAAATATACTATAAATATAAAGATGCCTCCTTACATATTCTAGCCCTATGAAAGGGTTACCTTCGCAGAATCTAGTAGCTCATTCCCACGTGAAGAGTTCAAAATAGTCTTTTGAAAACTACTGATTTTTTTCTGAGTTCTTTTCTGCAAATGTTCAGAGTCATAATGATAGGGTAAAGGAATCAAAATAAGTTTACTTTATTTGCATAGCTAATAAAATGCTGGAGATTCACTATCCAGCTCTCTGTTCCCAAGTTTCTTTTTGTCACTCTGAGATTGCTAGGAGGGATCTGAGAAACTGATAGGTCTGTGTTATTCAAAAAACTAGGATTTCTTACTAATAATTATGTAAAGCACAGTAACCAAAAGATGTTTGCTTAGTAGCAGAGCTATACTTGCATTATTTGCCAAGGAATTGCATCTATGATTGCACACACATTCTCCAAGTCAGGAATTTGGGCTTAACAGACCCAATTCTGTTATTCGTGTTTAGTACTCTTTGCTAATAACTCAGCATAGTGCTGAGGATACCTCTTGAAAAGTGATGCCTAGCTGTGTTTGTCAGTGTCTGCTTAGAAAAGAATCCTCAAGTAAACAATCCATCAAAGCATCGTTAACCTCCTGGTAAAGTTTTCTGGTTCTGGAATGTTATTCCTGAATAGGTGGAGGCAGTGGAGATTTAGAACTGGCTCAGCGGCTTCAAACTGAAGAAGATAAACAGCAGAGACTTGAAGAAGAGAAGCGAGAGAAGGAAGAATTTAAAAAGCTACAGGTACAGTAATGTTTGTAAATGGGAAAATTTTTAAGAGTTGTGCCATTTGAAGTTGATGAAGTTGAAACTGTTTCCTGCATTATATGAAAATAAGAGCAGTCATACCGGGTCAGACTTACGCAGTCAGGTAGGCTTCAATCAGGTACTGAAGAGTTGGTGGCAGGAGCAGCTTGTGCTGTAAGTACAAAGGTTTTATGTCTTGTTCACTATTTTTCAATGTTGCTGATGGTGCAAGCTGCTTCTTAAATCATTGAAGAAGAATTTTTAAAATGTAATTTAAATTATAAACACTGTATCCCTTACAGAGACAGTATGGCTTGGATGGTTCTGGAGGCTACAAGAAGCAATTCCTGAATAATATGGAAAGAGAAGTTAACAGAGGAAGGATGCAGCCCTTTGAGTATCACAAGAGAAAAGCCGACATGATGGAATGTTTGGCTTTTGGTATAGATGATGGGAAAACAAAAACCTCAGGTAAAAGAGCAGTTCAGCAATGAAGTATGTAAATTTTGGGCATAGTTTGTGGTGAACAAAGGTGTTTTTAGCAAAATGTTTCCCCACTTCAGATTGGTATTATGGCACAAATAATATTAATCTGGAGCATGTCGGTAACATCTATCCTTCTAATTTTTTTTCTTTCAAAATGGGTGGTCCAAGGGAGGGTGAAACTTTGGAATCGCATTGAGTGGTTAAGAGCTCAAGTACAATATGTGTCATAAGATTAAAATCTCCTGTTGCATATAGGTTGTCTTTAAGAGAATATTTTTGTTTACTACCTAGTGCTATAGGATAGCTATTCAAATTTATAGTAGCTTTTTGTATTATGTTTCAGTTAGTTGTAATCTTTTTCAGCACATTGTAAATCATTCTACAGATTCTCTATATGTTCTTCCAGGAATCACTGAGGTATTGTGCAAGTACTACCAGAATGAAAACAAAGATGTGAGACGCGTATGGCTTTCAGCAGGAGTAGATCACTTCCAATCATCTTTGGGTGACAAAGGCTGGGGTTGTGGTTACAGGAATTTCCAAATGCTCCTTTCCTCACTCTTGCAAAACAGCTTGTATAATGACTGCTTGAGAGGTAGTAATCAAAATACTTCCTATTTGTTTTACATGCCTCAGATGACAAACTGTTGATGTTTTACCTTTTTGTTTATACAGCAAAGCTTATCAATGTCAATTATACCTATTAAATGTTTGTTAGAACTCCAGTGCACATTGTGAAAAGAATTTGAAGGGTGGTGAATATTGGTGAGGTATGATATGGTTAAAGCTTTAGGTTTGGGTTTTTTTTTTTTGAAGGGGCGGGGGTGTATTTTTCTAATATCTATTATCTCTTAGAAAAGAGGCTGGATGTTCTTAATAGATTATTTTGGTAACTGTAGCTGCAATTCAAAAGCTTCTATGTTTCAGATACTGCACTAATTCCTAGCATACCGAAAATTCAGTCCATGATCGAAGATGCTTGGAAAGAAGGCTTTGATCCTCATGGAGCATCTCACTTCAACAACCAGTTACGTGGTTCCAAGGCGTGGATAGGAGCGTGTGAAATTTATTCGCTGTTAACCAGTCTCAGGATAAAGTAAGTATTACTTTTTCTGTTTTTTATTTTTAAGCAATAGTTAAGCATATACCTTCTGAGGGTCAAAATTGTCAACTATGAAGAAAAACCATCCATCATAGCAACTTCAAATTCAACCAGCCTGTAAGTGGATACATTGTAGTCAATGCAATCATAAACCTGTGTAACTACTTATGCAGATAAGCAAGGAGAATAACTATTTATAATCACTGAGACTTGTTGAGGAATTGTGCCATATATGCATACAATTATGTACTGATTTTAAAAACTTATTTTCTCTCTAGTTGCACTTTGAGAACAATCTGAATTTCAGCTACTCAGTTGCATATTCTGCTGTTAGTTTTACTTCCTGGTATTTCTACAGAAATCTAATGTTTGGATTTTTGCAAACTTCCTAAGCTCGTTTGGCTGAGCAGAATAGAGTATTTATTTGCTACAGAGTAAAGACTGTGGTTTTGAACAGTACCTACTGCATTCCTTTGTAGTTGGCCTATCTTCTATGCCTGTATTTAAAATAAGAGCTGTATAGTCAATGAATATAAAGCTGTTATAATTATGAAATAAACAAGAGAGATTGGCAAAGCAGATTATAATAACAAAGAGAGAGAATAGACAGAAAACTTACCCATGTCCTGGCCTCGCTGCAAAACTCCAGAGGAATGATTTCCAGAAGAGATCCTTTGTACCTGGTAGCCAGCTCTTAAATGGGTCTAGGAGAGGTCTCCACCCCTTCTGGGAGCACAGGTGAATTGCCTTCACCTGTGCTCCCATAGCTGACTCATTGCTCTCCTCAGGTGATCAATCAGAGGTTCAGGCCATGATTCAGCATGTCCAATGCAAGAGCAAACATACAACAAAAATAGTGTGAAATAGTTAGTGCCTGCAATTGCAGCTGTTTATGAAGTGTTCTTCATGAAGGAGGGAAGGACTGAGAGGTGTTTTTTTTTGTTTGTTTTTAAAAAAAGGAAGTGCTTCAAATTTAATACCTTGTTTTAATTTTTAATGTTCTATAGGTGCCAAATTATTGACTTCCACAAGCCAACTGGTCCCACAGGCACACACCCTCGTTTGTTTGAGTGGATTTTACATTACTATTCTACAGATAATGAAGGTACTGCAAAGGTAGTGTGCACTTCCAGGCCACCTATCTACTTGCAACATCAAGGTCAGCATCACAATGTACTGATTTGTTTTCTTACTTTTTCTCTATGTGTGCTGTGATTTAGAGCAGTCTTGTGTTTTTCACTTAATTGAAGGCCTATTTATTGTTAAATTTCTGTTTAAAAAGTATAACATTAATTTTGTATTTTTATTGGGTAGAAAAGCATGAGTGGAATATCAGCTTTTTGACATCTGCTTTTTAATTACAATCACTATGTTGAATTTCTACTAATGTATTGCTTGATTTAAAAATAAGCAATATGCTACAGGCAAGTAAATGGGATTTCATTTTTCTAAAATACTGAAAATCTGTTTGAAACTAGGTCATAGCCGTACTGTTGTAGGCATAGAAGAAAAGAAGAATAAAGCCTTATGTTTGCTACTATTTGATCCTGGATGTCCTGCTCAAGAAATGCAGAAACTGTTAAAACTAAACAGTGATGGCACTAGTCTCAAACTACTTCGAAAGTTTATGGGTAGCTTAAAAGAAAAGCAATACCAGATAGTTGCTGTAGATGGCATCCTCACATTGGAAGAGAAAACTGTAAGTATTTTAGGAAATAGTTTGTGTAAGAAAATGTAAAAGAATGTGCATTAGAATTCACAACACAGTAACTAAAGTAGTGTTTTCTGGGGGAGGGGAACATGTATTTTTTCTTCTCTCCAAAGATTCTATTTATATTTTAAAATATTAATTCTTTAGATTATTACCTTGAAAGATCACATTTAGGATGAAATATAGCCCTTTAGTAAGTGCATTTTCTAAATTAATGACTGAAAAAAGATGTTTTCATTTGTTAAACTATTCACGCTCCTTCCCCCGTTCTTTTTAGGCTCGCTGTCTGGCTTCTCAGGTCTTAACATCAGAGAAGATTCCTTAAAGGATGCCTTACCTACCTCTTTCTGAAATCTGCTGAATACAAAACACTGAACTAGTCATATTGGACTGTGACTAGCTTAACGATTTGTACACTTAAGTTATGTCTAAGAGCTTGGAGAAGCACAACATCAAACTTAGGCCTATAATTTTAATCTTCAATCAAAACACTTCCCTCCAGGTGAAGTGTAACTCTTCAGTATTAGCTTCTTAGGCTAGCAGAAAATGGGGTATTTTCTTAGTTGTTTAAATTACAAAGTAACATCCACTGCCCTGTAGCAAGCTATGCACTATAATTAATTATTAATAAGCACAGTGGGTAAAAATACTGTGAAACGACTTTTTTTTTTTTTTGGAGTGCCTGGTCAACTTCATCTCTGTAAATACATTTATACTTCCTCTATGGCTAATGTTCCATCTCTTGTAAAATTTGATTAACAAGTATCTTTTGTATCTCAGCAACTTCTCCAGCAACTATTTGTGAAGTACAGAAGCAATTGAGTGTTTTCACCTGGCATGATCTATTCCAGCAGGGATTCATTTACTACTGCATTTCTTTTTAATCATTTGTCTTCCCTTGGTGCACCCCTTGCTAACAGAAGTGTGCTTATGAGGTGAGGCAGTGGTGTACAAAGTGGAGATTGTTTGCTCGAGGAGTGTGCATGAGACAAACCACTGTAGCGTGGAAAGAAAATGTTTTGTATTACGAATAAATATTTTTTTAATTAAAAATTGCTCTGATAATGGTTTTTAAAAAAATCATGCTTCCAGGGCATCTTCTGTCCTGTCAGACTTCATTTTGCACAGTACCTGCCTGCAACTTCCCCAACATATAGAACCAGAAGGATGCTGCGAGTCCTGCCTACATGGTCCTTTGAAAGCTCCTTGCAAGTCTCTAATGTTAGGCATGAACTTTATATAAAAAAAAAAAAAAAAAAAAGCCTTTCCTCCCTTAACAAGCATTTAACTCTCAGTGTTCTTTACCAGTGTTGTGGTTTATCACCAGCAGGCAGGTAGTTGAGCACCTCACAGCTGCTCCTGCTCACTTCCCCCACAGCTGGCCTGGGGAGGGAATTGGAAAGGTAAAAGCAGGAAAACTCATGGTTTGAGATAAAACCAGATTGCTAGACAAAGCAAAAGCTGTACCCACAACCAAGCAAGACAAAGAACTCTTCACTATTTCTTACCAACAGCCAGGCGTGGGACATCCCTTTCGGCTGTTTGTATCAGCTATCATGCTTCTATATCCTCTCAGCTCCTTGTGCACCTCCAGCTTCTTGCTGGCAGGGGTGCACAAGAAGCTGAATAGTCCTTGAGTTATAATAAGCACTGCTGAGCAACAAGTAAAATACCAGTGTGCTATCAATTGTTTTCAACTTAAGTCCAAAACACAGCAATATATGAGCCCTTATGGAAGAACAGTAACTGTGTTCTATCCAAAACCAAGACAGCTAGATTGGATTTCTTCCCCTCCCCCCTTTTGTAGGAATGAAATAAAAAAAGCAACTCGGTAAAATCTGAGGACTAAACCATCTAACAACTGTCAACAGTAGGAGGGAGTACAAGTTTTTCTGCTCCTGGAAGCTGTCTGTAATCACATTGCAGCTGCTATCACTCATCACAGACATCTGTCCTCCTGGTCATACCAGATTCTGCTTTCCTTTTGCTCACTTCAAGGACAAGGTTGGAGCTGCCCCTCCTAAGCCTGAGAATGGAGGAAGGGCCCATTCAACTACTGTGCTATTGGCAGTGTCAAGTGTAGTAAAATAGGATAGACAGAGCGATAGTATTTTATGTTAATATTAACAATTCTTTGAAGCACTCCAGTCTGGTAGCAAAGTTCTGTGGTGGCACTTATGCATTAAAAGGGATGCTGATACAGCATACCTTATGGCTTTGATTATAAATTCACAAGTGTGGAAGGGGCAGCTCCCTGTTACTTTGGATGCAGCTTTGTAGTCTTGGGACCTTTTCTCTCTCTCTTTTTTTTTTTTTTTTTTTAAATTGATATTTTTTTGTAGGAATATGTGAATCTTCACCTATTTCCCAGTCCAACTAAAAAATCCCATATCTCCAAGTGTGTGAGTTAGAGGTGTAATCTTTGATGACATAAAATTAAGTTTCTGGTAAAAATATGTAGGGTTTTTTTTTTTTTTTAAATACAGTTCTAATCAATTCTAACTGCCATCAAGCTTCTTGGGATTTCTGATTTTTTTTTTTTTTTTTTTTTGTAATTAGTCATACCTGTCACTCTAAAAATACACACCATCTTGTTAGTTAACTGCTGTGGCGATGCTGACTGGAGTAACTGAACCAGCACTATCTAAGGACACTGTGCCCAAGACAGAAACACTTCATTTAGAGCAGAAACCTTCTAGTGCCAGATGACAGCTCTGTACTTGCACTCAAACATTCTGCCTTATTCACAGAACACCTTTCATCAACAGGTAGCATCTGTAGGTACAGCCTTAATCATTCACTTTGTGATCTAATCCATCACCTGCAGGAGGCAGTGGTCTCACAGGGAAATGGCAAGCAGCTGTGCTGTCTGGCCACCTGTACAGAGGAATGAGTGACTTTGACACCAGTATTCAGTGGCTTACAAAGGTTGCATGCTTTCACTGACCTTTTAACAAGCAATTCAGTTAACTCCCTGCGCATTTTGTCATGGGAAAACATGTTACAGTGAGTTGTATTATGGATTATTAGAAGGTCATTAACTACTACCTGATGCCTTAGTTCACTTAATTCATAAGGCCAAATGATACCCCTCTAACCTGCGCATGAATGGTGTATTTGAAAGACATGACTATTATAATCCTCTCCCCTTGCTTACTGACAGAAGCATGGCTGTCTGCCTGTTGGGCTCCATGTCTCATCTCAGATGCCAAAATAACAGTGCCCCCACACCTCCAACCCAACCTCTCTGTATTGCTGATGGAAACTGCAGGATGCAGAGCTCTGGGCCCCCATTGGCATGGTGCTGCTGACCCCAGGTCTCATTGCTAGTGCTTTTACAATGGGGAAAGGAAACCCATCCCAGATACAAAGCGTTCATCAGGAGGCTTGCAATTTGTGCTGAACCCAGTTGGCAGCTGACACCTTATCCCAAAACATTCCCAACTGCCTTCTCACTTTCTGTTCTAAAGAGCTCTGCATCTTCACAGCAGCCAGAGCTCCTCAGCTTCAGCAGGAGCTGTGGTGTCTGAGTTACAAATACTTGGTATCTGTGTACCCTGATGTACCTGGTTTACCAGAGCCATACCTTGTGCATGCCTACAGCACTTAGGTGATTCCCAGTCTGCCAACAGACATGACATAAAGAGCCAATCTGAAAAAACGGATGTGGGCAGCTTCCCCCAGGCAGATCTCGCTGCTGAACTGGCCAACAACACCGAAACAAAATAATTTTGAAACTGCACCTGCAGATACAAAAGATTGTCTCAAGTGTCTGCTTCTGTATGCGCATAAGAGTAAGGAAGCATCCTTTGTTCAAAGGAAGGGACAGCGATGGATTAAGATGGTTATGTAGTACCAAAGGGGCTTATAAGTGAGCAAAAGAGCGTGAGTCTCACCTGATCATCTGCAAGGGTTCTGCATCTACAGTTCCTGACAGTGCCTGGACAACAACTGATGCTGTGAGACAGAATTCGCTCTTTCCACTGGATACTGGATACCAGGCTCACAATAAATTCCATTAAGTTTGTTACATTCAAACAAGTACTCTAAGTGTCAGAGAAGAGCCCCACTTCCAGAGTTCATAGAGTCAACTGGATGGCACCTCACATATGTCAGTTTGAGTCTAGGAGCTGCAGCTGGGGCAGGGCAATAGAAGAACTCTTAAACATCAGTTGAGAACCACAGTTCACATAACAGTAGGGGAACAGATCATAGAAATTACTAAAAATGCTACTGTAATGCTGAAATAGAACAGAAAGTACCACAGTAACAGCAGGACAGCAAAGTCAGGCTACAGCAAATGAGAATGAGCCAAAATGCAGCAACCACACCAAAATGACACAAAAATTGAAGGAAGAGAGCTACTTACCCTTGAAGGGCCACAAAGAGATAGAGACCTCCAACAAGAGGTGCCCCTTCTTCCCCTGCCAACACTTAAATGAGTCTGGGAAGGGGTGGATCCTGGCTCCACCCCTTCTGGTGGAGCATACACCTGAACTCCCGTGGGTTGGTCCTGCCTTCCTACCAGGTGCTCTATCACTGTTTCAGGTCATGACTTAGCATTTTTGCTACAGCCACAAATGACTTTGATCTATTTTGATCTCATAGACTGTAGGATAATAGAAAGAGCAGTACAGTTCTACAACCAGAGGTAAAGGCCACAAGTTCATCCTTTATGGATATCATGGCCACACATGTTCAGTTGCATAGTATATTGCTGAGGAAAGCAATGGAGGAATATCTGTGAACTTACACAATGCAACTTGGTTACTGAATGTTCTCCTAGGTATACTCCACACTGAGTGCTGAAGCAGCTTATTTTTTATGTGCTATTATCTAACTTTCAGAAAAGCTTCAGGTGACTATCTCTCAGATTAATCAGGAACTGAGATTCAGAGGAAGGGGAGAGAAGATATGTTTATTTCTCCTTCAAAGCAATGTTAAAACTTTCTGTCAATTCAAAATGTATACATATTTCTTTTTTACAAAAAATGTTTCATTTTAATTAATTTATTTATTTCAATCAAGTTAATCAGAAATTATGATTGAGAGGAGAGGAGAAGGTGGAAGGGACCTATGAGGATAACCAAGTTAAACTGCCAGACTTCAGGGCTAACCAAAATTTACATTATATTATGGAAGGCGTTGTTCTGAACAAGACAAGAATGGGGTATCAGCCAGCTCTCTACCAAGCCTGTTACAGTGTTTGGCACCCTTACAGTAACGAAGTGTTTCCTAATACCCACTCTAAACTTACTGTGGCTCAGCTTTCTGCTGTTCCCATCTTGCCATTCAAGAGCAAAACCTGCGGTTTAAGTATATATTAGGAAGTTGGATCTTGAGATAAATTATTAATACTGTACAGAACGATTTATCCCAAAGCAGGTAATAGAGTTGAATGCATGGAAACTATGCTCAATTAGCTGCTGATAGACTGTAATTCAACACTACTGACAATCAGGGCAGGTCATAACTTCCTGATGCTGTCATTATACAGTATTGTTGAGATTTGTATATTCTATCAATTCACCATCTGTGTGAGGGCCAAATAGCTTTACAGTCTATTTGTTTTTCTTGGAAAACACTATGTCTCTCCCTAAGCCAAAGCTTTTGGTGCCCTGGCTAGAACACAGATCTGGTGACAGACAGCAGATGTTGCTCTTTGGGCCTCTTCAAACCTCTAATGGATGATCTCTGTGCCTTGCTTTAGGATCAAAAGCTGCCATCTTCCATTCATACTAAACTCCTTGACTAGAAATTGCAGTTACAAAACACTGGGCATGCCTGACTGGAGCAGAAAGCAAAGCAGTGCAGGCTTAATCTTTGGGCTTAAAACTACCCTTTGTTGCAAAAAAGAATTTAGCCCTACTCCTCATTCTGGCTTGTCCCCTATCTGATGGATCTGTTGTGCAAGTTCGAGGACTACCTGGAGAATTGATCCAGGTTAAAAAGTAACTCTACACAAAACAAGGCATAGGGCTGGGGGACAAAATTTTCTTGCTTGCGTAATATGGTTGGTGTGCAAGTTTCAGTGAGAAAGGTCTCAGGCAAGATTTTATGTCACTTATAGGTGCTTGTAGAAAAACATAACGTGGGCACATTCGTATACGGGGAAGCAAAGAACTCACTCGTAGAAGCTCTTGGCTGAGGCCAGGTCTGACTGGTTTCACTGCACTCCAATAGAGTGGTGCACTCAGACTGTTCATTCAGACTGCTGCCACATACAGTGTGCAGGTATAACAAGTGTGGGCAAAAATTTTGTGGGAGCTGAGTAAGAAACACACGCACACACAAAAAGAAAGAAAGAAAGAAAGAAAAATAAATGAAAAGGAATCTTTCAGTCACTTCTGCTCCTCTTCACTCTCACTCTTCCTCAACAATGCTGTTGATAAATTGGAGGAAGAAAAATTAAAGTTGCCTTAAAATAATTTCCTAAATCTCTCTGGAGTGCTTTAACCTTCTAAGGGGTTATGTCATTTCTCTAATCCCTAGCTGTGCTACAGATAAGCAAATATTGAACGACAGCCAAACAGGACTGTTAAAAAGGAAACATGACTGCTCACGCCTCTCTCAAACTATTCGCGTTCACAGTCGTAACATACATCTCCGTGGGCCCTGGAAGAGAAGACAGAAGGTAAGGATGCCTGACATTATTGGAGCTGTGTGTTGGTGAGTTAAACAATGCTATGCTGATTGCCCTTCTGGTAAGATGAGTAGAACTGTGCGTGGAACAGTTCTGTCAAACGTTTTGAGAAGTGAGGCCAGAGAAGAAGCCGAGTGAGTGCCAAAGGGAGGACGGCCATACAGCTGGGCTCTGACAGCTGGTGTCAGAAGCTGAGTTTGACACCCATTTTTCTGTACTGCTCAGCAAGGGGTTGGAGTTGTGCCTGTGAGGTCGCTCCCTGAGCAAAGCAGAAGGATCAGATCCCCACACATGTAGGAAAGGAACAGACGGACGCCCTTGTGTCCGCAACTGGATGCAGATTTTCAGAAGCACTTTTCAAATGCATTTCTGGCTGATTAGAGCGTATTGGAATGCTTATTTCTTCTTCCATCAGATACTCTAGACTGTGAATGTTTCCTAGCCAAGGTGGCATGGCTTTTCTTGCCTGACGTATTTCCTCATAGTATAATCCCCTGCCCATAAGAAAGAACCAGTTCAATAACCTTTGTCTGAAAGTGATATGAAAGCTCAGATTTTGGCAGAATCAAATCAAAAAGGATTTCTGTGCACTGCGTATTTAATGTGTCTTCGTTCTGTATCTTAAAAATTCTTAATTCTTCCTTCATAACCCTAGAATTATTCACTCATTCACCATATTTTTATGTCCTTTGTGCCACCAGTTTTCTTATTATAACTTGACTTGAAATCTGTTTTTGCTTTTATGATTGGGATTACTGCTACCAGTGTTTCTGATATGATTAGTGACTCTCCATTTATTCAACCCAGCTCGGTGGGAGAACTTCACTCATATCAAAATAAGCTTATCCTGAACCTTTTTGTCAGGTCATTACTCTGATATTTCTAAGTGGCTGGCTGTGGGGAGCAGCAGGCCCAGCCTGGCTGCAGAGCCAGCCTGGGGGATGCCCGTGCATCCTGTGGCCATGCCATGGGAGGAGGCTGCCCACCTGAGCTGCATGCAGGCCCAATACTGCCCTGTTTTGGCACTGCCTCATCATGGGACAGCAACCTGCGGGTTGAAGGGAGCACAGGTCTCATAGGCAGTGTCCACGTGCATGTGCCTCGTGTAGGCAGGTCCCTGGCAGCCCATGGATGCATCCAAGGACACAAGGTCATGGCCCTTCCTTGTTTCCACCACACCCCTCAACAAAAAAGGGCACTGCAGGGTGAGCATGAGTTCAGTGCAGCTCTAGAGGTGAGAAGGCAAAAGGGCAGGTAAGCCTAAACCGGTGAGTAATAACAGTGTTCATGAAAGCTTAATTAAGCAAGATCTATTTAAGAGATAAGAAGAGGTGACAACCAAAGGAAACATTAGACATTGAAATCCTAGAGGAACTTTGAGAAATAATTATTTACAGAGAGTGCCATTATTTACATCATCTTTTGGATGCAGTTAATGTACACAAATATGAATAAACAATCAAGATATTAGCCTTTTTATTTCATTTTATAACCTGATGTTTATGAAAATTTCAAGGCTGAATTTCAGTGAATTGTTACAAAACACAATTTTTTGTTTTGTTTTGTTTGATTTTCTGAGAGATAACAGCAAAACTAAAATCTATAATTTTATTTTTTCTTATTTTCTTATTTTTCTTTATTTTTCTTATTGCAGCTTATACACCCATGAGTGACAACAGATTAGTGATGGAACCATCAAAAGAGTTTCTATTCAATTACAAAGGGTTTTATTTTACTGTAAATACTACACCTGAGTATGTAGCTTCCCTGGAGAATTTTGAAATCAAGGACAGTGATATATTTATAGCTACTTATCCAAAATCAGGTAAGAAATGAATTGATTCCAATGGGGAAATAAATCTGCTTTTACTCACACTGCATGCCAAAGATTGTTAGCATTGCTTTATAGATCCGAACCGTCTCTGAGTATATGCAGTGCAGCATTAGGTGCAAACCTGAATAGCCACAGCCTGAAAAACCACACACAAGGTTCCTGCGTGTGTCCTGCTGAGCTGATCTATGTGGCTCTTGTATTTAGTATGGCAGGTGTGCTCAGAAGAAGGCAAGACTTACAGGTCAAAATGATAAGGCACTGAGATGAACACAGGGAGCCCAGGTGATGCTAGTTCATTGTCAGGCAGGGCTGGAGGAAGCAGTCCAAGTCAGGCAGAGAGGCAGCATGAGGAGGAAAGATTTAAGAGGTCTAAATGCTAACAAAATGAGATGAAAACTTCTTTGGAAGTGGAAGATTTGTGTTGCAAAGGGATGGGCTGCCCAGAGAAAGGAAGGAGGTGGAAGACAATTTGGATTTATGAATTGCACGCAATGTCATCTTGTTCCCATTTACATTCTTCCCTCTGTCCTACTCCACTATCCACTTTCTTCCTGACCAGTTATCTAGGGTACGCTCCATCTCCATGCAAAATCGTCCAGGTTGATGAAGCCAAGCTGAGCATCCCGAGCTGAGCTGGGGAATTACTTGGGAAGGGCACTTGCTAAGTTATTGCTCCTCTGGTTCTGAAAATTATTTCTTTATCTTGTTCTGTGGATTTAAATCTATAGCACACATAAAGTCTAATCTCCAGAACCAACACCTTCCTTCCCAGGTGAGGTCTTAAGAACTAGGCTTTGCTTTCGGATGCCTTCCATTCTCTGAGCTTGTACAGGTGAGGCAGCAGTAACAGTTTGCTGCCTTTCTGCATTAATCTGAATTCTCTCAGGTGTCCTTTCCTTTGTGCAAATAGCATAAAAAGGAAAAGAAGCCCAGAAATCAGATCTTCCCTGCCATCAATTTTAACAATAATTATGATAAAATCAAAGTTCAAATTTTAAAAATTTCTTCTTAGGAACTGTGTGGACTCAGAATATTTTGAGCTTAATACTCCATGAAGGCCATCGTAATGGAACAGAAAATATGGAGATGCTGGACAGAATCCCCTGGGTGGAATATAATATTAAAAATGTGGATTATGGCAGTCTTCCTTTGCCTCGAGTTTTTGCCACTCACCTGCCTTACTACTTAACTCCAAAAGACCTGAGAAACAAAAAGGGATACGTAAGTGAAGTTATTTCCAACATTCAGTTAAATCCAACCCTGATAATTTGCCTCAGAGATTTGGTTCAAATCCTGTCATTTTCTTCTTTTAGTTTTGCACATCTTGGTACAAATATCACGACTTGAACAAAAGTGAGGAGGTCTAGAAATTGCCTATTCAATTTCCTCTTGATTTTTTTGCAGCCCTTGCTGCTAGAAATAGGGATGGTGCAGAAATGCAACTCAGTGGGATGAGCCAGGGAAAAAATCTTGGACTGATGTCACCCTTGTGAAAAGATCAAGTTCCAGTGAAATAATGAGTCTAGGAAAAGGCCTCCCACACAAAATTATAGTAGATAAAGAGGGAGTGTTTTCTTATTCATCAGTATTGTAAATAGGACAGCCTGTTGTGAACTGTCATTTCTTCATGGATGCAGGTGTAGTGTAGAGCGGAGACAACTCACATGCAGAAAACAACACGGCCTTTTCAAAGGCCAGAGCTGAGCTCACAGAGTTCTGACATCACCAACCAGTGCCAGAACTGTGGCTTACCAGAGATGGTTGTAGATTTCCTCATGAGAACTGCAGCAATGTGATGCTGAATCAACAGGGACGTTAAAATGATTTTGTAAGGCAGATGTTACAACCTGTCTACCTTGCACTACTGAATGGTATCAGTGTAGACTCTAACACTCTGTCCCAAGAAGAGATATCAGTGGGCTCAGAACAACCACAAAGGGCATACTGCTGCCTATATTGGTAATGGAGTAATGGAGCGCTTTGATCTCTCTGAGAGCCATCGTCTTGTTGTACTGCAGGTTATTTATGTCACCAGGAACCCTAAGGACGTGTTGGTTTCTTATTATCACTTCTCCAAATTCATCCGATCACTAGAGAAAATACCGGATTTTGACATTTTAATGGAGAGATTTTTAGCTGGAAAAGGTAGGATATTTTTCTTACTAAGGAGCCTAAACCCTACTCCATGGCCTCAAACAGAACAAGGATTAATTGTAGTAATAAACATCAGTCACCCAGAATCCTCAGCTGTCCTAGCCTGCAACCAAAACCAGAGTGACCATCTGAGCTTGGCCCTACTTTCAGTGCAGATTACGAGAAGTCAGGGGTCAAATGCCACATAACAAAAAAAAGCATCACACAGGTGCTGTGATCGTATGTGTCCATCCATGCTCTAAAAAGCCAAAAAGCCAACCGAATTGGGCCCCTGTGGGCACAGCCCCCCCTCCAAGCCTTGGGGAAATGCAGAAACAGAAGAGAGGGAAGAATACAGTCCTGTCCTTGAAAGTAATAGAGGTGGTAGAGCAAGGCTGATAATTCTACTGTTTTAATTTGCTGATGGCTGTAAATAGCAGATCTCCCTCACACTCCACGTTTTATTTTTTGTTTTTCCTTCTTAAGTGCTTGGCAGTGCCTGGTTTGACCACGTTTCAGGCTGGTACAACCATGCAAAGGATTTCAATATACTCTTCCTGACCTACGAGGAGATGAAAAAGGTGAGGTCCATCGTATCACCGTCTTCCAGATATTTTCTTCCTATATTGAATGCATTTTCAGGTAGGTCTTTAGATTTATCCATCATGGAGTACACTCAGTCCTCATGGAGAACAAACAAATTGAGACTTCTAAGGGCGTCATGTCATTTTTTCCCATTTGTGCAATGCCTTAGGAAGAATTATTACATAAATCAACTTCTTGCATAATGAGAGTCATCTTCCCCAAAGAAGCCAGACTATGGTATTGTAAAAAATGATGGACAGTTTTGGACTCAAACTTAGTGATGTCCTTAACAATCCCATATTCCACTGATTTATGCATTTAGTTTTCACATCATCAAGATGCTTCAAGTTTACTTTATTGCAGGATCTCAGAAGTGCTGTGCTGAAAATCTGCAACTTCATAGGCAAGAAGCTGAGTGAAGAGGAAATAGAAAGTGTTGTGAGACAGGCTACATTTGAGAACATGCAGAAGGACCCCAGGGCAAACTACGAGAACATGCCAGATGACATTGCAATTAAAGGGAAGGGCAGATTTCTACGGAAAGGTAAAACAGAAGCAGTCCACTGCGACTTAATTCCTCCTCTTGGTGTAAAATGAACATAGTGTTTATAGACTTATCAGGATTGCCCCAGTCTCAAAAGGGGAGCTCAGATTGAATGGAATTAACTGTCAGAGTTGTTTTATAGCCCTTCTGTTGCTGTTGTTATCACATTTCCTTAAAGATAATAAAATGTCATGTTTCACTGATGATAACAAAAGTGGCAAAAGGCCTGCTGGACATTACAGAAGATCTTGAAGGTTGTACTTCTGAACCAGGTGTAACATACTGCTCTCTTACTGGAGTATCAGTATGATTATGAGCAATTGGCTAAACAGATAGGTGGCTTTCACTGGCAGATAGGGGAGAAAAGCCTCTCTCAAACAGAGAAAAACAATTATTTAAGGCCACCAAGGGACTTATTATCTGGGCAGGGCAGCAAATTTGATTTGAACACAGTCGGTGTTCAAATGTTGTTCAATCAGGAGACACAGTTTAAGGCTGAAAAAAGTGCTGTCTTGCCAGTCTCCTCCACCTATGCTTACTCTTCCTTTTCAAGGCAACAACCAGCTACATTGTGTGAGTACAGGCCACCTCAGCCAACTGCTCTGAAGGTCAATACATGGCATCCTTGGGCTCCTTGGCAATGCTAAAGCGTTCTGAAGTGCAGAGCAGGAGGAAATCCCTAGGGATTAAAGGGGGAGGTGCACTCACATTTAGATAAGTGTTCTCCAAAGAGCACACAAAGCCCTGCTTGAAAGTCCAGCAACACAGAGATGCCAAGGAAGCCTGGAATGGCTTCCTGAGAGTAAATCTCTCTGGTGAAAGGCCAGCTTCAGATAAGTGCCTTCTTCTCACCTCCCTTTGCTGCCTCTTTCCTCAGGCACCATTGGAGACTGGAAAAACATGATGACAGTGGCTCAGAGTGAAAGGTTTGATGAAGTTCTTAAAGAAAAAATACAGACCCTGCCTATCAAATTCACCTGGGAGATAGACAGTGAAGTGTAGCCTGGCTTTGAGGTTTGTCATTCTTTGGCGTTCGTCATGGATGGACACACTTGACCTTATGGAAGAACATAATATGATGATTTTCAACTGTGTTGTAGAGATAATAAATAGAAGAACTCATTCAGAAAATGCGAGTTATCTGAAGGAGCTATTCAATTCCATCAGTTTCCTGTTTATAATTTTATGAATTATTGTAGTTAATTTTCATAGTAAACCACAAGTTCCATTCTTCAGGATTGCATTTGCATTCGCTGGCCTTAATAACACCCCAGTTATAGACAGCCAAATGAATTAGCCCTAATGTTGCATGTTCTGATGCTGCCTACTGACTGAAACACTTCACTACACTGTCTGTTACAGTTCTTCAGGCCATATTTGACAATTTGAGAAAAAACACGTCATAGTCATAGCAGTTTTTCAGTGAATGCTCACACTATCATTCCGATTGACTTGCTAGAGCTGTTGTGGTAGGAAGCTACCCGCAATCTGTGACCCATACAGACATTGACTCACTATTTGGCATTTAATTTGTCTACGATTCCCGTGATATGTTCATGATTTTAACAAACAAACAAACAAATCAAAACATGATTACATGACAATTCATTTAATCTGTGGGGCCAAATGACATGCCTCTAACTTGTGTGAGAATCTGTAAGACCAAACTATTACCTCTGCAGCTAACAACAGGTGTGTACTTGAGTATCTCTCACGTTGCTTACTGACAGAAGCATGGCTGTCTGCCTGCTGGGCTCCATGTCTTGTCTCAGATGCCAAAAATATCAAAAGCAACAATGCACCCACACCTCCAACCCAACCTCTCTGCATTGCTGATAGAACCCCACTGACATGGTACTGGTAACTCCAGGTCTCTCTGCTCTTGCCTTGAGGATGGGAAAATGAAGCCCATCACAGATGCAAAGCATTCCTCAGCAGGCTTGCAACTTGGGATGAGTCTGGTCGGCTGCTGACACCCCATCCCAAAATATTCACAAATATCTTCTCACTTCCTGTTCCAAAGAGTTCTGTGTCCTCACATCTGACAGAGGTCCTCAGCTGCATCAGGAACTGTGGCAGCTGAGTTATAAATACTGGGTACCAGGGTATCCTGATGTATCTGGTGCACAGACCCATACCTCATGCATACCCACAGCGCTTAAGTCTTTAATTCCTGGTCTGCCAATGGCTATGAGATACAGGGCTGATCTAAAATAATGGATCACCTCAAGAGAAGGTGCAGGCTGAACTCCCAGCACCTGCACTACAAAGCCTTGGCCTTACCTGTGCATCAGATCCCCACGTAGGAAACTTAGAAAGCACTCCCCAAGAAGATCTCACTGCAGAACTGGCCAGCAATACTGAGACAAGATACTTTTGAAACTCTCCTGCAGATACAAAAACAATCACTTGAGACTATCTTTTGTATGTACACAATAGTAAGGAAATGTCCTTTGTTTAAAGGGATGGATAGTGAGAGCCACGAAGATGATCAGGGGACTGGAGCACCTTCCCTATAAAGACAGGCTGAGGGACATGGGCCTGTTCAGCCTGGAGAAAAGAAGGCTGCAGGGTGACCTCATTTCGGTTGGATGCCAGGGGGAAGTTCTTTACTATGAGAGTGGTGAGGTGCTGGAACAGACTGCCCAGAGAGGTTGTGGATGCCCCATTCCTGGAGGTGTTCAAGGCCAGGTTGGATGGGGCCCTGAGCAGCCTGGTCTAGTATTAAATGGGGAGGTTGGTGGCCCTGCCTGTGGCAGAGGGGTTGGAGATTCATGATCCTTGAGGTCCCTTCCAACCCGGGCCATTCTGTGATAGTGATGGATTAAGGTAGTTATGTAGGACCAAAGAGGCTTATAAGTGAGCAGAAGAGTGGCGACTCTCACTTGATCCTCTTCCAGGGTTCTGCAACTACAATTCCTGACACCACCTGGATAGCAACTGACCCCATGAGACAGAATCCCCTCTTTCCACTCAACTGGATGTCAGGCTCACAATAAATTCCATTAAGTTTGTTGCATTCTAACAAGTACTCCAAATGTCAGGAAAAGAACCCCACTTCCAGAGTTCGTAGAGTCAACCTACTGGCACCTCATGTGTCAGTTGACACGCTGCTTATAAAGGGAAGTGCATCTCTTCCACATTTATAAACTCTATCCACTGCAATCATACTGAGCTAAAACTTGAACTCCTATCTCCCCACATACACATTAACAGGTCTCTGATACGTCTCCAGCATTTATTTCTTCTAATAATCTTCTGCTTCCTTCAGTACAGCCTCAATCAAGAGGGAAGATCATCATGTAAGGAGGAAACATTTTGTTCCAACATTTTCTCAGACACCATCTGCACTCTCTAGTGGGTTTGAACCCTCATCCACTCCCACTGTTACAACATTTACAGAATCAAATTATGATGACTGCTTTTGGTTGATAGTGAATCAACATCCTAACAACTAGCTACAGCAGGACATAGCTTCTGAACTCTGAAACATTCCAAACCATCACTTAACTTGACAAAAAGCATCTAACTTAGCTTTCCAACAAACTGCTTTAAAAAAAAAAAAAAAAAACTTTTTTTTTTTTTCCCCTTACCTGTCCCAAAGATCAATATTTTCTTTTCATTTTTCAATCCAGCTGTTTTCACCTTCTGATGGGTTCTACTTACTTTTTGCTACACCCAAGTAATTCATACAGAGGAAATTGCAAGCTGCTTTATTTAGACAAAGCCAACCATATCATTAGCCTACAACAAGAATGGATCTTTTGTACCCCCAACTGTACAGCCAGATCATCTTTCCCTCTAGAACTTCATGTCCTCGATATCAAGAAAGTAAGTTACACAAAACATCTGTGATTTACGTAACCACCACACCCCCTGACACATGAGCCTGAACTTCAGACAAGCAGAATGTTGTTTTCCACCTCTACATATTTACCCTGGACACAGAAAAGATAAAACCAGTTCAGAATAATAATTCAAGTCTTTTGCTGAGTTTGCCTTAAGTACAAAAAAAACTTGATTACAATTTGGACCTTGATCTTTTACTGTTTTTTTTTCAATGGTAGACTACATCGAGTCCAATCAGGGTAATAAAAATCCACCTAACACTCATGACACAGCCTACTGATACCAGTTAACTCTTGCATCTGCAGATTTTACCAGCATTCAGTACAGAAATGAAAATCAAGTTCCTTGCAATAAATGCAATTACACCAAAGAACTGAAAAATCCCTCTCCAAATTGGAGCCAAGTTGCAATGCACTAAAGGACTGATTTAGAAAAAAAAAACAAAAAAAACCAGAAATGAAATATCTGATTCTGCAACTTACCTTACAGCTCTTTCTCTTAGAATGCAGGATATCAGCACACTGGATGAGACAGAAAACTACACCTGTATCCAACAAACTTTTACTTTACTTCAGCAACCATGCAGTTAAAACTGAAGATACTTAGGCACAGAGGGGGATTGGATTAGACATAAAGAAAAACTTTTTCTCTCAGTGGTCAGGTACTGGAATGGCTGCCCAGGGAGGTGGTGGAGTTGCTGCCCCTGGCAGTGTTCAAGAGACATCTGGATGAGGAGCTATGAGACATGATTTAGTGGCTTGTGGTAGCAATGGCAATGGGAGGACAATTGGACTAAGATGATCTTGTAGGTCCTTTCCAACCTTGTGATTCTATGATTTTACAATTCTACATCACAGCCTGATGGTTAAAGGTTTCCTAGTAGAAAGACTGAAGTCAGGCACTGGGTGGTGCATTTTAGCAGTGGAGACAGTGGGTCACCCTCACTGGCGTAGATTTTTATAAGCGTGGCAGGCAGGCTCTTGCTCATCACTGTCGTGTTTCAACTATGTCGAAAAAGTGTTTGTTAGAGCAAAATTTCAGCTACAAAACAGCTGTTACTGTGCTCTTCCTATCTGTTGTAGTTTCTACAAAAAGAAATAGGAGACACTACTTTCAGAGTGACTAATTACAAGCAAGGCTATCAGTGCTGTTCTCAGCACGACGACTTGGAATTACTAAAATCCATTCAAAGTTAACTGATAGAATTTCATTAGACTAATACAGATTCGACTTCAGTCTAATTCAAAGTTTTAAATACTTAATCCGAACTTCTTCATCAAAAAATAAAATAAAATAAAAAGATCTACCTCCATCTCTGGAAACTAAGTCGTACAGATGCATCCAAGTCCACTCAGTAAAATTACCTTTTATTTCACAAATGCTAATTGCTAATAAACAAATCAGAAGTTTAGACTGAGTCACTGAAACTTGTTTCAAAGACTTGGAGAAACGGACTTGATGAAATTTTTTTTTGTCACTTCAACCCTTATTTCCTCTGTTTTGAAAAAAAAAAGAAAGTAGCAATGAAAATATAACTTTAACCTTACAGTTATAACTTCTTGAAGCCACACAATCTTTGCATAAAAATCAATAAACGTTAGTGTAAAAACAAAACAAAACAGAAAACCCCGTTAATCTAGAAATTATTATGAAACTCTTTTTCACATTTATGTGATTCTTGAATCATCAGTATCCCGCTTAGAAAGCTTTCTCAGATTATCACATTTTGCACAGACTATACAGTATTCTTGGATTCAGTCCAGATTTGAAGAGAACTTCCTCATTGCTTTTATGAAAAGTACGCTCATTTTAGACAAACAATTGACAATTGAAAGCAACCTTGCAAAGCTTTCAGATGGCTGATGAGACATAGAAGAAAATTAACTTCTGTGTTGAACAGCATTTTAAAGCGTGCTAGCAGATACACAGGAAACTGGACACAGTAATTACAAACCTTTCAATCCAACTGCATCTTTGGAAAAGTCAGACTTTAAATATCATATTAGCTTACAACTTTTTAAATACATTTGGTTATATCTGCTGGTACACAGATCCTCCTTATTGCTTTGAAACACACAATGTTATAATTGAAACTTAGATGCTTATCTCAAGTTCTTAGGTGCCAAAATTAAAAATAGCAAATAGAAGATGGTAGAAACAAAGGCATATGGTTCATTTATAAAAACATTTATAGGGTACTCAAATATTTATTTATATTTACTGGGAACTCTTATTTATTCCTCTTGAGTACAAAAAGACAAGACTACTGAAATGCTATACAAGATCATCCTGAACAACTGTTCTCAAATGATACGAGCAGAGGATCTTACATATCATTAAATTATTTCTGGAATCAAATTTCTCATCTTGAGCAAGAAATTTCCTAATATTAAAGTTCATAAATCCATTAATGTTCTAAGCATAGATACTTTAGTACAATCCTCTTTTAAAAGGTTGAAGCTGGAGCAGTTAAGGCAACCTACCGTAAGTGTTTTAAAATCCAGCACACAGCTTCTAATCATCAAGGTGCCTGGCAGTTATTTGTTCAGAGAGCTGCTTCTTGAAACCTTCATCCACACCATCCTTCCACCTGACACAATACTGAACACTTTATACACATTACTTCAGTGTTCCAGGCTTTTTGGAGGTGTGAAGGGAGGCAGAGCCTAACATAAAGCTAGTAGCTCCACAAGGAACTCTTCAGATGGGAAAACATGCTACCCAGCAACTCACAGATGTTAACTTTACCATATGTTAAGACTTCCACAGACTGCCAACAGTCTCCTTCTAAAGAACTCTCAGCAACTGTAAATGTAAGCACACTATAAAACACTGTTACTGCATTCTGCGCTCTGACAGTGTTCTCACATTCACTGTTGCCAAAAGCAAATTATTTTTTCTGTCATGGAAGTTCACTGATTCATAAGAACTTTAAAAAAAAAAAAAAAAAAGCTTTCTAAACACATCAACCATTTTGAAATCAACCATTTCATTTTGAAGCTGTGGCAAACAAAATTTCACTCTAACATGTAAGTGGTTTTCATTCAACATTAAAAAGTATATGTCTTACTAAAAATGACTAGTGCTGCCTATCTACAGTTGTCCAGCTAATAATTTGGGGTATCAGAAGGGACCATTATTTATTGCATTATAAAATTTCAAAGAAAAAATCCTGCACAGCACGTAAACTGTTCTACTCAAGAAACTTTCCCAAGCATATCCTACAAAGAAGATAGCAGAACTCAGCTTCCGCATGCAGGTGTGTTTAACAATCACCATGCCATCTTTTCCTTCTTGCTTGCTCTCACTTCTCTTCAGAGGATGCTTAAAGAAGTGGAGGAAAAAAAAAAAATCAGAAAGTATGCCTCAGGTTTTTAATGTGAAATATAAGTCAATTTATTTATGATGATAGCCATCAGAAGACCATACTCCTAGATGTAAAATACTTTTTCTTCTTTGAAAAAAGGAAAATCAATACACATTACTACAACCACAGATGCTGTGGTTTTTCTGCCTCTCCCTCCTTACATAAGTCCATACTGATGACAGAGCCAGTTCAAAAAAAAGTCTAATCACTATCTAAATTAACAGGGTTGTAGTCAGGGTCATCTTCTTCATCCTCCAACTCTAAATCATCCATTTCTTGGAATAAAGATTCATCAACCTCCACACTGTTTCCAGCTACAAAAAAGAAAAGAAGTATTACAAGAAGAGAAAAAAAGTACCTGAACAACAAAATACAGTCTCTGAACACAAAGAGTACAAAGCGTGTGTATGCACATTTTATATATATACACATATACACACCACACACACATGCAATAAGGAACATCAGATCATATACAATTATCCTTTAAATTTTCTCCATGAGGAAAACTGAAAGGCAGACAACTAATTCAGAGAGGCACTGATATGTTAAAATAAATAAATAAATTTAGATTTAGATTTGAAAAGCAAGCTGAAGCCTTCTATGCTGTCACACTTTCTTCTAAAATAGATGAAGCTTAGGAGTAAAACTTCAGAACCACTACTACTTTATTTGCATGTATCAATAGCGACATCTTCTGGCCACTGAACAAGGTTCTGTTTTTCATTGCCTTTGAAGGAGACCTTTCTAAACTGCTTCCATCTACACAACATCATTAGACTGTAGCAGCTGCAAAAATTAGAGTTATTTAATAACAACTTCAATTTAAAATTACAACACTAATCTGTGCAGGAGTTTTTAAATAATGGACAGCGACAGGATTAAAAGTTAGCATTAAAAGTTATGTTCCCATAACTTAAGAATAGAGCCCAAATACAAACATGGAGGCTACTCTTCTTTTGAGGAAGAAAAACCCATCTTCACTTTAAGCACTTTCGGAGGAAGGCAAAATTAAGCATGTCCTCCAACTAGAAGAAACAACTTCTTCATGACTGCCATTTCAAGTTTATATTCACTGATGCTCAGAACTTCATCGTTCTTCTGCATGTGTGGTTTCTGCAATACTATGAGATAATGTTGCTACAGTAAAAAACTGCCTTAACTCACAATCAGTCTTTTGAGCTAGGACAAAAAAGGAGGTATAGAAATAAAATAAATAATATGTGACTGTGAGTGGATTTATTTATCTCTAACAGTTTAACAGCTTTTGGCACAGGCTTACAAAATTTTCAGCTACGATCAGGGAATTTTTTCAGTAAATAAACTAACCTGTACAAAACCATAAAAAGGAACTGCGTTGCACAAAGGCAAGCAATGTTTAATTTGATGCACAAGATGTTTGTTATTGATGTTGATCTTCAGGGAGAAGAAAACAGAACTTCAAAAACTTTAAATGGAAAGGAACTTTTTTTTCTGGGGAGAATAAAATTGCTTTTGTTCAATCTCCAAAATTGTACTTTTCAGAAATGCTTTCCAATTAAAAGTGATACTGACATAAGATTTTAGTCAGAATTAAAATACTGACTTTGCTTAGGAATGTTTACGTGTTTTAAGCCACTTCTTTCAGATGCAGAAACAAACAGAAATTTACCTTCCTCCAAGAACTGGATGTCAGATGTATCAAGGTTGTGATCCATTTCAAACAGTTGTTTCCCTAGAAGTTAAAAAGTATATATTTCAAAATGCTGTTTGGCTATGTAACAAGTTAAGGCAACAATAGTTAGCAGGCTATCTTAGGCTATACAGATTATAGTATGTTTGAAATGTGGCTGGGAAAATTTACACCGTCAGTTTCACAGTCTTTATTCAGTCCTCCTCTTGTATTCTACAATAAATCTTTGGGAACTGGACAGATTAAGCTATCTCCTTCATATGAAAATCAAGTGGATGTACAAACCAGTCACCAGGTCCTACTGTGAAGGAAACACCACGCAATAAAAAGTAAAGCCTTTCTAATTGGGAGGTGGGGAAAGAAAAGTTCAAGACATTCCACAAGCCTTTCCATCTACATTTGCATTTGCTTTTTTTAATCTTCTATCAGAAAGACTGTTTGACACTTTGGGTAAAACATTCAAAGACATCTTTTTCTTCTACTGGAGTACCCCATAAAATCTGAAAATAAGTCTTTTTTACTTTTGTAAGGTGTAAACTTATATGTATATACATCTAGTTATATACATATGTATAAACTAGACTATTAAGGAGAAAAACAGCATGCTAACAATTTCAAGAACAAAAAAACTAGAAGTCTGATTTCTACTTACTCTTTTCAGATGCCCAAACACATTCCAATCATAAGGAAATCAAGTACTCTACAGATTTCACTGGACTTACTACCATTAAGACTTCTATCAAGTTTGATCAAAACCAGCCAAAGGTTTCAAAAGCCTTCAGAACAGAAGAGGGACGTAACAGCGAATGCAGTGGAACTGTCATGTCACAGCCTGAATCAGTAATTGAGCACCAGGTAAGATGATGTGGCAAACTCAGGGAGCTCATGTTGCTTGCAAGCAACACACCTGAATGAAAAGGTGGAGCCTGGATCCATCCCTCCTCATCCTCATTAGCAGCCAAGTGAGCAGTATCTCTCTGGTTAGAGACTGCACTCCTTGAGCCATCACTGCTTGTTGACAGGGATGAACCAATTTTTGTTCTTTGTTCCCTGCTATTGCTCTGTAGTGCTTGTATCCCATTAGAAGGTACTGTATACATACTGTGAATAGCCTCCTTTCGCCATTCAGCGATACCACACAATCGTATCAGTTTTGTTTTCTGATGTAATCAGGTTAAAAAGTGGATTTATCATCACAGGAGAACCAAAGTTAAGCTGTAGTGTCTGGAGAATGCTATTTAAGACTTATTTTTGCATACAGGCTCTCTTAAAATAATTTCTTCTACATTTTTTTTCCAGTGGATAGAGTTTGGATTCTGCTGGATTGGGATCTACAGACAACACATCCTAGAACTATAATTACAATAGCTTTTCTCCAAAATACTATAGGAAAACTATCATTCTCACTAATCATCATAAGCTTATAAGTTGCATCCCCTAGACAGCCACTGTGTTGCTTCAGTTCATCTGCAACATCCCAAACTCCTACATGCCTTCGAATAATTTTAAGTCATGGCATGATCCAATACAAATAAGGCCAAATCACCACACTGCTCAGTGTAGATTCTTTCTGTTGTTTAATAATCCCCAGCTACTTATGCTAGAACAATGCTCATCAGCTGGAGCTCAAAGCAATAGACTGCCTGGCATAAAACCAAAAGCTTGAATACACAGCTTAGGAACCTTTATGACTTCACTTGAAATCTTGACTCACTCAGCTTTCTATTTAGCCCACCAAAGAGCTCAAGAAGACTTGGAGAAACATGAACAACAATAATTTAATATTGCATTAAAATCTGTTTACCATTATTATCTTTCAAAGTAAGAATTATTTTTAAGGCTTATCATGATAATCTGAGAACACCGCAAAAGCTTCAGGTACAGTTTTTAATCATACCACTTAATTTATTTTTGCCCGCTTGTTCTTCTTCTTTCATCTTTTTTCTTTTTATTTCTAAGAGTTCCGCATCAAACTTTGCTTTCCAGTTCAGGAAATTCTCGATTGTAACAGGAGTGCCATGAAAGCGTTGCTGAAAAAAAAAAACAACAGAAAACAAATATGATCAATTAGCAAAACTAGGAGTGAAGATGAGCATTCTCTTCCTTACTTACATTGCAGCATCTCAGAAGCATTTGCTTGCTGTGAGGCATTCTCAGAAATTAACTCTAACCCCAAGCACATACAAAGAACACATTCTTGCTTGTTTCTATTCTCCCCATGGGTCTCTCCCTTCAGAGAGCTGCAGACAGGTGGAAATTATAGAAAAACACCAAGTAATACATTTGAACCTACTGTGCAAAAGCTTGTAACATATCAATAATAAAGGTTATGCTTAAGTAGCAGCACTTATCAACTCCTACATGCAATCTAGACTGAAACTTTCTATAAAAAAAATACATTAACTGTTCTCTGTTACTGACAGACAAAAAGGGTTGGCAGGGATTTTTTTTTCCTACTATTTCAGAAATACCAAATATTTCATGTTTCATCACCCTCTAGCTACTCAAGAAAGCACATGATCAGTAGTTAATGCAGCATGTCCCATGGATAGAATAATTATTCCACGCTGATTGATGAAAAGTACCTGCGCAGGGAGGACAAATCCTGAAGACTAGTCCTTACTGCTTCTGCTCCACCAAGGAAGACACACATCCTCAGAACAAGAGCAGTCTGTGCACAGCACTACATAGTCTATCCTTTTTCACTTCCTGTTTCAAATAAGAAACTGACTACAGAGACTTTGTTTTCACTTGGGAAAAATATCCCTGCCCCAGTCTTAGGAAGTAATGCTGGAGGGGGGTGTGAACACGCAACAGATATGTTAAAAGATTGCTTTAGAAAGTGAGGGGAAAAATAAATAAAGACCTCTGAAGTGCAATGAACTACCTGGTGGCCTTTAAGAAGTAACTACATCAACTTCGGGCTACATGTTACTCTCCTACTACAGCTCAGAGTTGCTCTTGCATCAAGCCCATGCATCAAGAAAAGTTAAATCTTTAGTTAGAAAAAATATTTTACATACTTTTTCCTCTTCTTCGGCTTCTCTTTCTTTCTGTTTCTTTTCCTCCTCTCTTCGTGTTTTTATTTGATCCACTATTTCATTTAATTTCTCCTGTACTGCAGACACTAGAGTGAAGATCATTACCATTCCCAAATTTTCTTCTGCCTACAACACAAACAAGGCAAACTCAAGCAGAAGAACCCTATATCTTCAGAAGCTCAATACATATATCTTTTCAGAAAGCAGAATTGTGTACATACACACAGATAACACAGCTGAAGCACTCTACATTCATTTCAAAGTTCACTGTAAAATCCAAGTCATTTGGCCAGATAAACAAGTTAAAGTCACTCTCAAATGAATGGGTAAGCAGATAAACATTGATGATGATAATAATATCATCAACATATTCTAGACACCAGGGGAATTTCTTCATGGATAAAAAAAAAAAAAATCTACAGTAGTTTGTAAAAACTACAAGTTCATAAAATTTAGATTTTAAGAAACCAAGAGACACTCAGAAACTGCCTTCTACATAATTCCTTAATCCCTTACTCCCTTACATATGTTCCTTCCAGGTGGGACAAAATCAAAAATCACCAGCTGCTGGAATAAAGGTGTAAAATGTAAACTAAAAAGAGAATGACTGAAGAACACTTTACAGCCATTTAAGGCAGATAAGATTGGTCAAGAAATATTTAAGTCAACAAGAATGTTTCCTCTTCATACCTTCACAATGCACTGTCACTGACACCAAGGGTCAAAGAGTATTTTTTCTTGATCCAAAATAGTTATGTTATTGAAATGTAGCCTTTTCTTTTTTTTGCTTCTTTCCAAATAAAACTGAACTGAATTAGCTTCACAAATACTATTTATGCACTGTTAAATGAATTCATTTTGAGATAGAAATGCTAAGAGGGGAAGCTGTAGAACCCTTCCACTTCCTTATTCTACATGTGCACACTGAATTAGCTCTGTATTTTACATTAACATCATTTATACCACTAATGCCATTTACCAAATTCAAATCTCAAAGTCAGCCCTTACAGTATGGAAGTTATTTCAAATCAGTAGGTCATCTCTCAGAAAACAACCGAATTAAGGAATAAATTCTGACTAAATCAAGTGATATCAAGATAAATTGAAATATTCCATTTTACTTACCTGCTGTTCCAACAGGTTTATTATGCCTGTGACATCATTATCTTCAAGATTCTCCTGAGAGACAATTTCATAAAGGGGAGTTTCATCAGGATATTTTTCTCTGTAGGTAAACTTAAGGGTTGTTTGGACATCTACAAAACAAAAAAAAAAAATACACATTACAGTGATTACCTTACAGAATTGTAATTGCACATTTTTCTATTGCATCAACAGCTTAAGTATCTTAAGATAGGAAAAGAACTTGTCTTAAAGGAACAGTCATCTTACACACACATTACATCTTACAAAACAAATTTAAATATAATGCAATATAATACCACTAAGACTGAAGTTAACCCTTACATAAGCTATTCCAGACTATTTATGTCTGAGAAGACTTTAGAAAGACTGGAAATTTTTCTGTGGTACAGTGGGTACCAGAGTGGTGACCTCTTTTCCCTGACATCCCACTTAATGCTGGAGAAAATGAAGCAAGAGTCCTAACAACCAAACCTTGAGAGAATCTCAGCATATTACTGCTTTAAATTCTGCATACCTGGTTGGAGCAACAACCAGTGTGGTAGTTAACAGCTCCACACACAGCATATGACAAAAACATAAATGCCCATTAGACATTAATAAGCAAAGAGGAAAACTGCCTAAGGAACACACAGTCAATCTGATGTTACTGAGAGCTAGACCTGCAAGGAAATAAGGCCAGAAAGAACTACATTCCTTCCTTTCATGCATCTTGACAGAATACCAGGCAGGAACCTTCCCCTTCAGTTCATGACTCACAGTTCTGGCAGCCCAATTCTCCCTTTAACACACACTTGCTCCACACAGGGCTTACTCCTTTGAAACAGAAGGAGGTGGCAGCAGTTTCTTTCCTCTAACTCATGAACACAGAATAACAAATATATATATATAAACTTGAAAGTTAATATACAGGAAGGGAGATTATTCTATTTAAGACATAATGAACTTACTTTCATCATTTTCACCTGCTTCCGATGTCACAGTAATTGTGAAAGTTGTTGGCTTTTCTGACAACACTGTTAAAAAAAGAGAAAAAAAGATATACGTTAAATCAGACAACTACTTTACATAATTAAAACTGAATTTCTCTAGGACTAGTAAGGTATACAGGCCTCTTGATACAGTGTTTAAGCCTTTAAAATTCATTAAAAGGTGCTTTCCAGTTAACTGCTGCTTTCCATGTGATGTGATGTTTGAAGTTCTTGCTGAATGACAGCAATAGCAAGAAGTTAGCAAGAGTGCAGACATACCTACCACTAAGTGACTTGAACTAGTAAAGCAAATATAAGCAGAAAGGTCCCAAAGCCAGTTCACTTTATTGTGCTAGATAGGTACAATGGGTGCCCAGTCCATTTCTGACCCTAGACATCTTTACAGTATATTTATTCCTATCACTGTATTTAGGGCGGAAGTGGAAAATGATTCTTAAAAAAAAAGAGATGGATGATGCTTTCCTTCAAGAGTTCTGGAAATAACCTAGAAAAGGGGGGTGAATTTTAAATAGTCAATACAAAAAATTAAATCCATGAGCAACCATACTCACCCGCAAAAGCAAAGTAAGGCTTTGTTTATTGCCCACCTGTGAAGGAGGCAGCTAAAAAACAGACAGTGGCTCCTAATAGACCAAAAAAAAAAAAAAATGGTAAATCCATGTTCTGCTGTCATGGACTGGATGGTTTTACCTCCCTGCTCAAGCATTAGCTACAGGTGAAATCCCTGATTGAGGATTGTTCTGTACCACTGCTGTAAGTTATAACCAATCTAGTATATGTGATCTAACACTGTTAACTGAATTTTGCCCAACTGCTAACGTACCACCACTACAGCCTTTTGTGCTCCCTCTTCTTTATGGGCATGAGCGCATTATTACTCGGGCAAACAACAAATCAGAATAAACACTCGACTACACGAAAGCGTATTAGTCACTGACTCAGCATCCTCAGCTACAGGACACCGGTCCACGTTGCTTTAAAGTAAAAATGAAGAACCAGAAGCGTTTCCAGACTAAAGCAATAAACAAACGCAGCGGGTAAATGGCAGAGCGAAGTTAGCGCGGATGAGGCGAGCAGATACTGCGCAGGTAAGAAGGAGAGAACGTGCAGAAATCTCGCGCACGAAGCCTTCGATTGCAGCCCGCCGGGTGCTGGACACCGAGAGCGCATCCTGCACACGGACTGCCCTAATCCTGGAACTGAGGCACCCCGGCACCACACCCACAGCCGGCACGGCACGCTTAAGGACCCCGAACACTCCACGCTCCACTCAACCTTCACCCTGAGAAAGCCATAAGAAAAGGGGCGGCAGGCAGCGCCCCGTAGCCGGCCGGGCCTCCATCGCCTCGCCGCGGCTCACCAGTGAACGAGTCCGGGTAGATGGACTCCAGGGCCTCCAGCTCGTTGCGCTGCTCCTCGCTATAGTCCGTCATCGCCGCCAACGGCCATGGGCCGCGCACACCGCATGCGCGCCGCCCGCCGGCATCGGCTGGCAGCGCCTAGCGCCGGCCGCGCGACTCGCTCGGCAGTAGATGGCTTTGGGCTGGGGGCGGTGCTCAGCACGGGGGTCGTTGTGCTCGTCTCTTGTTTAGCTTGAATCCGCTCTCCTTGCGCTGCGCTCTGAAGCGGCAGCAGTTGAGGAGCTGCGGTTCAGCCTTTGCTGCGTGGACACCTGTGGACTCTACCCGGAGAGTTCAGCATATGCACAGCTACTTTAAAAAGACATTGCTCCTCTTCGGTCGATGTCGTTCTTCGGCTGGAAACCTGTAGGGGTCAGCAGGCTGAAGGGTATTCACAAGTTGCTTTAGGAAGTACAAGGTGGGGCTCTGGGGGCAGCCGACTGACATCCCAGAGTGAAATTGGAAGTTCCTCTAGTGTGGTGGTAGCGCAGGTTGGAGTTAGAAAGCACCAAAAGACATCTCAGGGGTTTTCCCAGTTACACCACACAGACGGCAGAGTTGCGTGAGCACAGAACTGGAGAAATCAAAGGCACACTATCACCCCGTGTGGGCTTCCTACAAGGGTGGGTTTAAGGGTTAATCAGCACAAGACACCAACTGGCACTTGTTACATAGCACTGTTTAAGGTGCATCCACCACTGACAGTTCTCCCTCATATTTCTACAGCACTGAGGTTACAGGAAGCTTTTGTTATAGAAATAATCATTTTCAGTCTGAGTGAGCAAACTGCAGTCCTAAACTGATTTTGGGTAAGATGACACCAGTGTTAGCAGACATGGGCAGTTCAGTGCCTTGGGGATTTTTCTCTAGCTTCAAACTCTTTAGGAGGCGGTGCCTTATTTCATTACCAATTCATGACATATTTCAGGAGCAGAGAAATGAAGGGAAATGCGCCATAATCCATAATACTACAGCTGTATTTAATGCTATGGATTAACATATCCCAAAAAGACAATATTATGCATTTTAGCAGGCTGAATTCACAATGACAGATAAAGTTTGTTATTTAGATTAAAAAAAAAAAACTCTAAAAAACAGAGGAAAAAACAGCAATTGGGACAAAGCTAGAGAACATTAAGATTCATTTTAAAATTAGTTTCACTACAATTATGAGATAGCTCAATTTGTCTTTTTACAAATTCTTCATCATTTCATAGTGGCACTGTAAAACAAGGTACAAAATAGAAAAAAAAAAAATCACAACAGGTAGCAGCTAGTTTTTGTTACTCCAATCAGAGAGGCAGGAGAAACTTTCTGAAAACATACAGCTGCTTTGTGTATCTGATTGTGCATAGTGTTCCATCATCCAAAAAAAAAAAAAAAACCAACAAAAAAAACCCCACGAAAACAACAAAAATCACAAACCAAAACCAAACACCAATGAATCTAAAGTGAAATCAGAGATTGTATTCCCTAACAGATGCTTTGCTTCCTAAGCCGATCATACATACCATGCAGTTCTATTAATAGAAACTTTAGGATTCAAGTGAGACTTGAGATTTGTAAAATTTTCAGTGATGAAAATTGCATTATTCCAGTTACTCAGCATATTCAGCTTTTTCAAGTCCATGTTTAGAAGTTTCTCAAAGGAAGAGCAAACACACTTGAACAAGACCTGCTTTTTAGCATGCTCTCAACTCCTGTATTTTCTAAGGGAAAGTGCTACATGTGTTTTTCCTATTTTAAGACTGTTCTTTTGTTGTTGGTTTTAATAAAATGACAAAAAATAACCAAAAAACAACAAACAACACCCCCGTAGGTAGCATCCTATATCCTAGCCTATAGTTAGGTAGCACACAGTCCATACGCTGCAAGGCAATTCAGGAAGCAATGATGACAGCAATGACTGTGGGCACAATAGTATGACTGAATTTTAACATTTTCAAAGGCAAAGCAAATTTAACTTCAGAAGGATATTTCCCCACATAGTAGGCCAGCTTACCTGTAAAGTCTGACACATTTTGAAGTACGTACAATAGGAATAGGAAATAGACCTTGCTACTGCTTCCACTCAAGAAGCGCTCAAATTCAAGTTTCCACATGTGAAGTGTCCTTTTTGCTTTTTTGTTTTTGTTTTTGTTTCCCCCTCCCCTTCCTTACCCCCTCCGCCCCATAACTGCTATATGATTCACCCCTCCTTTTCTTGTGCATCTCAATTCTGTTAAAAGTATCAAGTGCCCTGAAAGTTTTCAAACCACTTTATCTGGACTCAGCCTTGGTTGAGGAGGTGTTTTATCCACATAGGAGAAAGTGGAAGAGGAAAAATAAAGTATTTCTACTGGAGGTCATTAAGACAAAGCTAGATATCTGCTTCTACTTAATACAGAGTGGATCAGGCTCATAGGATCTAATCACTCAGAATCTACTATTAAAGATTTTTTAACAAGAGGGAGGAGAAAGCATTTGAGCATAGCTTTCTTACCCAGTGAAACTCATCCCTTTTGCAGAACTGTTAGAGAAAGTGAAGCTGCAGCTTGAAACAGCCCACCCCAGTCAGGTGGGGCCTCTGACCTCTGCATCCCACAGGAGTCATACACCATCAGGAGCAGTGTATAAGTATCTGAAGGACTACATTAACAAAGTATTTATTCATGCCCTTTATGTAATAAGGTATCAGAAAGCTCCACCACAGTTCAGGTCTAAAGCAGAGCTAGACACTCCTGATTTTTCCACAAGGTGTCGGCAGGGGCTCAGAACCTAACAGCTAAGTTATGGTCAGGGGTCTTCATCAAGCTTCAGATATTTTCTGTCTGCCGAGTCCTTGAGTGCCCAGTCATGGAGGAGACTGTAGTCGTAATGCTCCTCATCCACTAATTTTAGGAAGGCCAGTCCAGAGATAGCTTGCCACTCCCTGAGTGATGGGATACGGATTTCATTTATATTTTCATTTCCCGGGACAAATCCAAAGAACTTCTTTACATGCTTCATGGCATAAAGCTTGGAGTGCTGGTCTGTTGCTTCATCAAAGAGCTCCTGCTCATTACGGACATAGCTGGTCCAGTACCTGAAGTGCAGGAAGCTGAGCGGGGAGAAGCAGCTTGCCAGGCAGTAAGACAGGAAGACAGTGATGACAACCACAGCAATCAGAAGCCAGCCAGCCACCTTCCAAAAGCAAACAAACAAGATCAGAGCTGAAAAAACCCATAGTGGTATTTTCTGGGCATAAAAAATAGAAATCTAAGACAATCTTTACTTGCTTTTCCCAAATAAGGAGGCTAGCAGAGGATAAGCATGGCTTGTACCTATTGCCATCGCACCCAGTCCCTGACTACTGCAGACAGCTGAAATTCATTTCTTCCATCAAGTTTAAGGAAGACCTGATGAATAACTTAAGGATGTTTGCCCTACAGCTACTATTGTGAATCTGCAACATAGAAACCCTCTAATTCCTAGCCCAAGTTACCTTATTTACCATATTTACGATCAATTTTCCTTGAAGTAATAATGTTAACATTCTCCCTAGTTCTAGCTGGAATATTATCTAGTTGGAATATTAACTTCCAGACTCAAGTCTGATCCCCAAAAAAACCAACCAAACAAAAAACCAGCAACAACAGGACTTTGGTTTATATGGAGCTCTCACAGTCTGCACCCCTTAATCACATTTCTTGTGCTTGAGTTCAAGAAGCTTCCTGCCCTTCAGTGGCTCTTGAACTTCTGTTTGTCTTACTTGCTGGTGCTTCTCAAGACACAAACATGCATTTTCCAGTAGCAAGGGTTAGAAGTGACATTTATGTACTGGATTTTCAATTCCACCTATGGGAACAAGTCAGGCTCCACAAAACACAAAAGAGATTTAGCAATCAAGGCAGAAGACATTGATCCTGTTCTGTCGTCACCCTTTGCCTTCTCAATAAACTGCGGTGTCATTGCTAAATCTGCAGACAACAGCTTTCACAGCAGAAACAAAACGGATTACTCACCTGTGACTGGTACCGGAGCAGGAGGATCACTTCATCTCTTGCCCTGCTCAGCTCTGGTGGAACTAGCTGGCTGCATGGAAATGCAGCCAAAATCCTCTGGCGTTCACTAATAGTCACGTTAGGAATATCTCCATAGTAATACAAAGAGACATATTCACTCACAGCACACACATAGTAGGAGCCGTTTATCAAAGTGACTGCTAGCCATGTCACTGGAGCAACCAGTGCTCTCCCAGTGATGCTGCACAGTACAAAGCAGGTCAGTTTGCACTGTAGTAACTGATTCCACGTGCTCTCTGTTAGAAGAGGAGACCTCTTGCCTGTAACCAGCCTCCAGGTCTGGTTGTTCAGAGCATAGCCAATAACCAAAAGAATCAATGCAGGAACACCCAGGAAGGCCAACCCATAGATGAGGTTCTGCCCCACATGACAAGGACAACTGAACGTAAAGAAAGAGAAGAGTTGCTGCCCACCAATTGTCAGTATTGCAATTATAGCATTAGCAATAACAACCTCTTTGCCTTTCAGAAAGGTTAGCCACTTTGGAAGGAAAGTCATTTTAGGTTTCACTGTTTACCAGATAGATTCTCTTGCATTAAGTCCCTACTAGCTTTCAGATATAGATAACTGATATTAATGGTAGACTAGAACAGAAACAAGCCAATCCCAATAGTTTAAAATACAAAACAACAACTAAAAAAATTCTAATACAACAACAGGAAGCCTGCTAGTCTTTCTTCTCTAATTAGCTCCTGATTGCTCAATAAGAGATATAGCCTTGTTTACTAGCTTTTATCTACTTGAAGATATTCAGTCATGTGTTTTAGCTGATCCAATAAATTTCTCTCAGCAGTTTGAGGACATTCATCATTTAGGGAACTGTGAGCTCTGCCAGCTGATTGCTAATTGGCTGAAGCTACCAATCAGTTCTCACTGCCTGTTCTCCATCAGCAGCAAATTAATATCTATCCTGCCAGGGTAAATTGGTCAGCTGTTTTCCAATCAATGGTAATTAGCAGAAGCATAGCATGAGGTTAGAAAAAAGAAATACTGAAAAAAGGGTAAAATGGATTGTTTTCAACTATTCTGCATTAAAAAAAACCGAACAAACTTTGCCTTGCTAAGTGGACTGATGATAAAAGAAAAAGCAGCAGAGATATTTTAAAATGCTTCAACATTAAAATAAAAATGGAAAATATTCAATAAGCTGCACAAAGTTGAGAATCCCAATTCTGTTCACATTTAATAGTAATTCTGCTTGTGTTTCAATTTTCTTTCCCAGTATACAAGATGTGGTTAGCTGCTGGACCTTGAGGATTTTAGCGTGTCACTTGCAGGGGCAAGAAGCTACCATGTCTCATTTACTGGAAGTACTGAACAATCCTTTACGCTATCTCCTTCAGAAAGATTTTATTTAGCAATCTATAATCTGCTATAGTCTGTCAAGTCATCTTCAGATGAACTTGTGGTAATAGCTAGCATTTATATAGTATGTTCACAATTTCCATTTTTCAGATTTATGTATTTATCATTAATCCCATGCTGTGGACTGAGATAGATAGAAATTAGACATTTTCACAGCTGGTTTCTAAATAGTGAAATGAATTATCTGGGCTCTTAGCACCTCTTACAAATCAAGCCTTAAATGCAGGTTTGTTTAAAACATGTCACTGGTGATTATTTTGTTCAGGTTGCACTTTGTCTAGGGTCTTGCTGTCTGGCAGTTCTGTCCATTGTATACTCCAGTCCAATTTGGTACTGAATATGCAAGTACTTGTGGGGATTTAGGTTCTGAGAAGTCTAACTGCCTGTAATACAAAGATTTTGACCAAGAACAGGAAGAAGATCCATACAGGCTATGAGGAAAGTTGTATAGATGATCATATGCAGCTTGCTTGTGCTTGGCAGCATGATAGAGTCTGACAGCCTCCTCAATCCCCATGAGGAGGAGTTGCTAATAATAACTTCCAGCATAAAATGTAGTTTTAGCACCCATGATATCTGCATGAATTACAGAAATACTCTTGTTGCCACAGTGATGGATTTCCTGTTTTCAAGGCAAGACCCTATTCCCTTAGTGCATTTTTGGGGTGGACATCTGATTATCTAATATACAAATGAGGTCCTTGCTGACATTTGGCTCACAAAACTGTGTGACACCATTACACAAAACTTAAAGTAATAGAGATATATGATTAAACATTTAGCAGCACTTTGCCTCTGCTTTTCTGGACTCTGTTGATACGTTCTTGGCATTTTGGGCAGTGTAGTACCATAACAAATTCAGTACTTTCTGAATTCTTTTCAGAAACACAATATTTTCTGTACTTTTTTTTTTTCAAATTAGTGATATTTTATTTTGTCAAAATTTATACCCTTCAGGTCCAGTAGAAAAAACTTGTGTGGTTCTCACAGAATTGTCTTGAAGTTGTGTTTTATAACATTCTTTAATTTTACATCAGTTCATTTTCAAATTTCCAATAATTGCTACTAAACTCTCTTTAAACTCTCTTTTGGAACACATTTTATTTACAGGAAAGCAAGGTTTCCCACACAACATTTGTTTACTCCAGAAGAACATTAGATGTGAAACTGAAGAAGTGAACAATACTGAAATATTCATAGTCAGCCTAAGGCTGTTGAGTGATGCAATTTATATAATCAATTAAACAACTTTGTAAAGCCACTTTTTTTTTTTTTTTTTTTTTTTTTTAATGTTTTCTTTCATGTTGTGCTGGAAAAAACCCTGCTGGGTCATCCTATTGTGGAGCAAATTACAGTGTCGGATCCAATTGAGTTTGAGTGGCACATCAAACCTTTGAGTAGTCATCTTTGCAGAGGAACCTGGTGTCTTGAGTAGACATCTCTTCTCTTTCTCTGATTCTCAGGAGGAGTTAGGACTCAATGCAGTCCAAGATACCACAACTTCAGGTGACACCCAGCTCACCTTTGAGGCAAAGAGATGCTTGAAGCTGATGCCTGAGGCAAGTAGCAATACATGGGCAAAGCTTTGTCATGTTCTAGCTTGTCATTTTGCGGGATTCTCTGTCAGCTAAAATTCACTGCCAGGAATCTCAACAAAATCAGGTGCTTCTTCTGAAGACGTGAAAACTGTTGGGCTGTGTAGGCTAACAAAGCAATTTCTGTCAACTCATACTCAAAATTCTCAGATAGAGCACCACGGAAAAATGGCAGCAATGGCATTGCTTTCTTCTGAAACATGGCCGAAGCAGCAGCCACACTGGCAAATGCACTCAGTTGTGATGAGTGAGACATGCTCAAATGCATTGATTGTTTTTATGTAGCTCCAAATACCACATCACCTACCTTCTCAAAGTTTGAAATCAAATTTATGTGCAAAATATTTAACACAACATTTATCTGGTTGAAGACAAAGAGCAAAAAAAAAAAAAAAAAAAAAAAAAAGCCCAGCCCAATATTGCACAGATTTGGACCTGTCTTTGGTAGGAAATGTGTTCTTATTTTGGTTCAAATAACTTTTTAAGATGCACCACTGATCTTTATACTGCTCTGCACTCTGGAATATTTCTGTCTGGGAGAAAGACACTGGACTATTGAGGAAATCACACACTTAGCTCCAGAGGTTTCAGCTTTGCCGTAACAGCCAATCTACTGTATGAGGCAGAGACCTGGCACCCATGTTTATGCATGCATTTGAACTTCAGGAGTTTGTGTGTATTTATTTCCAGTTAAATGGGAAGGGAGGGAATTGTTATGGCACTCAAGCAATGTGCCTCACACCAAGTTCTTGGGGTGGAAGGCAAAAATCCTCTCCTGACAAATGCAAAAGGGAGGTAGAGGGTCATACTGACTTCCACACTATTCAAATTACCTTGGATATATTCTGATAAGTCTGTGCTAAGTCTTAAAAAAACAGCTGCCAGGTATGTGCCAGTCTTTATACTTTACATGGGGATGCAAAATTAGACAGCAGTTAAAAATCGTGAGGTAGTTTTCTCCAGATTCTGAAGACATGCTTTCAATCCACCATTGACTCAACTCTCTGGAATAATTTAATTTCAAGTTTATTCGGACACAGCATTGAGCTTCATTTTCTGTAGTGTGTGCAACCTTTCAAAACATAACATATGCTCTCTAATACATCTCATTATCTGTGAGAAGTTACAGATGTACCTGTATGCATGTATCACATATTTCACTTTCTGCTCTGCAGTGTTCCTTCATGATTTTAGTATTAATAATGTAGGCTAAAATAATTCATCCTTATACTCAGAACTGGATAAATAAAATGGTGTTCACTTATGGGCAGCCTTAAGTGCTTTGTGATGGTTTCACTGCAGATAATTTATGCTAATGATAATCTTTTAGGGCTGTTTTTTTAAACGCTATGCAGTACATTTTCCTACAGAATGTGGAACATCTCTTGCAATAAGAGACGTGCTCGATGCTTGTGGCCAGTTGGAGACAATCTGGGAAACAAATCCATCTCAGACTCCATTTAGAAATGCAAGTGATTATCTAGAGAATTTTAATGCTGACTTTTATAATTTACTTACAATTAGATATGGAAAGTACCTACAATATTTTCACTTAGAAAATGGAGTCAGCTTTTACAGGGTAAGAAAAGTGCCTAGAAAAAATGGTACATACAGTTGTCAACACCATCTTGTTCTGGGTAAAATGAAAGCTGCTAGAATGGCTGTGTTTCAAAGGAGAGGCTAAAAAATGACTTATATTTGTCCTAATTTTTGTTGTTGGCTTATGTCATTATTTGAAACTACCATTAAAAAAAAAAAAAAAAAAGAATTAATCCCACTTACCCCAAATGAGCTTTCTGTGCATCTGGAGTAATACATACCTGCACTTTTACCCTAGCTCTACATCTACAAGTGAATTAGAATCTCATAACTGCATGACATTCAGATCAGGCTGCATATTTTTACCAGATTAATTTCTAAATTCACTAGTGACTGTAGAGTAGATATGTGCCAAACCCGAACTAACAAAAAAAGGGGAAATTTACCTTAGGTGAAAACAGGAGAAGAAAGCCAAACCTTCCTGGATGCTTGTAATGGAGATGTTTACATGCAGAGGTAATAGCAAGCTAAGAATGATATAAAATCCACTAGAAACACTGGTAATGAAAGTGCCATTTGCCCAAACTGGCAGCTGTTGCATGTATTCAGCTTACTGCTTTGCAAATCTGGGTGCTCTAGCTCCATCCCACCAGCTCTGCATCCTCAGAACCACAGTGACAGTATCACTTGTAACCTGTGTCACTCCTGCCTAGGCAGACATTAGCTCACTAGACTAAAGATGTCACAGCTGGTAGAGGACTATTGTTCCTGAAGTTGAAAATGATGAATTTTTAATTACCTTGTTTATCATTATCATATAATTATGATTTTACTCTTTGAGGGAAGAGGGAATGTTTCCTAGCTGTCCAAACACCAAAACCTGTCACAAGCGACAGGATGAACTGAAACCTAAAAAAAAATAAGACCTACACATCTCTTGGGGCCGCCCAGTTTGTCTTCCTGTAGCTGTTTGCTGTGTATTTGATGACAATCCATTCTCACAGATGGAGCAGTTTATATTGTGTACAGGGTCTGCCAGACTCATTCCTCCCTAAGGGAGGGAGAATAGGAGGAGCATCAGAAGCACTACAGACTGCAGTGAGCATATCTCATGCAAAAGGCAGAAGAGAAGAAAAGAGGGACGTTTAGGAGAGGGAACAAGAAAATGCTGTTTGAGGAAGAAACAGTATAACCTGACACATACGTCAAGCTTTACACAAGCAACATGTCACGGCCTCCGGGAAGAAAGCAGGACAGCCACAAAATAGTAAGATGTTTTTGCTGTGTGCAACTGCAATTGTGCATGGAGAAGGAATGAGCTATTATTGTATTGATGTGTTTTGTACAGACTATTTCTGAACAGCCTGAAAGTACAGAAAGGATGGGGATGAGTTTTCCAGTATTAGAGCAGAGGCTTGCTGCCTGAAATACAATGTACTGTTCTTGTTGCTAGGATCAGAAGGGTGATCCTTTTGTACCTCACTGGAGACAGTAAGTCTAGGGAGTCTTTGCCAGACATCCCTCATATTCTTAATTGCTTCTAGCCACAGCATTTGCCAAAAGTGAGCTGATCCTCCAAGCTCTCAGATGAGGCTTTCTATACCTTAGATTACAATCAGAATGTGTCTCCACATCAGGAACAGTTGATCTAAATGTCCTATGGATTCATTATAGCAGATATTACGTAAGGTGAGGCTTACTTTTGCTATAGATTGGGCAGTCAGTTAGGAAATCCTATGTCCTAGGAGTGTGTGTAGAAAGAAAATAATTCTTGTGGAGAACTTAGGGGCTCGTGGTTGTTAAACACTGCTAGCACTAAGTTTCCTCAGAATTTCTATTGTTGAAAATTTTTAACTATTTAGAAATATTTCACCACAAATAATCCTTCAGACCCTTTACCCACCCAGCCAACAAACAAACAAAACCAGCAAGAACAAAAACCAACAACAAAGCAATGCATAAATAACAGTTTTGTGTCTTGAAGAGAAAATGTGCCTAGAGGTGTTATTGACACACCTGTATGACAAACTAAAGAGATGAGGTTGCTGATAAGTAATTTTTTACAAAGTTACTGTCTTACTTAGCACTTGACTTTTCTAGAAAAAAAAAAAGAAAAAAAAAAGATCCTTAATACTGAAGATCTAAATAGGCTTAGAAAAACATGGACACAAAGTTTCTGCCATCTGGAGTATATTCAGAAGCAGAAGACTAAGTACTTTAGAGAGCATCAGTCAAAAATAGAAATGTCAGATGAGTTTGTATGCCTCTGTGTTTACATAGTCATTAAATTAAGTGCAAAATGAAATCTGTTTTGTGTTTGAATGTTCAATTCTACCCACATCTTTCTTCAGGAACCTAGAGCCTCAGGGCTTTCTGGGTGGTTAATGATGAGTTTTGATGTATTAGGGCAGTGGAAAAATTCCAGAAGCCTCCCAGAGATTATTGTAGCTATTCCTGAAAAGAGAAGAATTAGCAGACGGTGATGATAAAGGTCTCCATTGGGGAAAAAAAAAAAAAAAAAAAATTAAAAACAAAACAAAACAAAACAAAAAACATTAGTTCATGGAAGAAAAAAGTCAAATAAAAAGATTATTTCTTCAATAGACTGAAAGAGTGGCCAATGATGTCAATTATGATGTTGTGCTGTGCTTATGATTCTCTAAGGCATTTGTCTTATTGCAACACTGACCTGTTGAGACTAGAACAATACAGAAGCTGTATAATGTCCACTTAATGCATTAAAAAATTGTTCATGAGAATTTGCCAAAGTGTGTAATGCTATTGTAAACAGGAGTTATCACCAAGGTGACCTTAAGATATGGTTCCACACTACTTGACATTTTGACAAGTGACATTAAAATGGAAACATTTATTAAACTTCAAGTTGTTGATGCAGTGGGAGCAGGAAAAGGTTTTTCTGCCAAGCAATTCTTCCTGTTCCATTGTTTTCATTGGCATTTACTATTATTTTTTCCACTGACTATAAATAAAAAGCACTTCTTATATGCCCACATGCCACAGGCTTGCGGCACCTTTATGGATTAATTTCTGCCCAAGAATTTAATTACAATCAACCTAATCTCTCAGGCCTACAGACCAACTACTACTCCAACTAGATACACTCAGTTCAGCAGTGTGCTATAGATGTGATCCTGTAGGATCATGACCTAGGGGAGAAGGGAAGATAACTTTATTCCAGATCCGTGAAAAGCTAAGGATCCCAGTGCTTCCAGTGCTTTCTATATTCCTTTGATAGGTGACTGGAATCCTTATCCATCTCCATGGTCTTGCTCATGAGACAGAGCCATACCAACTAAATCTTCTGTAGTGAGAAACTCACTGTCAATTTAGCCAATCTTGCTAAATCATTCACACCAAGCACAGGATTTGTTTTGTTTAATGTTAGCCACCTAAATTTTAGGTGACTACTTTCAATTGCCTACTCTCTCATTACAAATTAAGGAGAGGGATGTTGTGAGGAGACAGGTAAACCAGATGTCAATCCAGTATACCCAGTTACCCTGTGGAGCCACTTCAAAAAGAGAATATTTGGCATGGCAGTACTGAGGAAAGCAAGCTATAGGCCAATATTTCATCTGACTTGGCTGTGAAACTCATTCCTGCCAATGTGATTTATATTTTCCTTTAAATTGCATTTACTTTTCAGAGCATCACATTGTTTTTCCTTCATTTTGCTGTTCATTTGAAAAAAAAAAAGTCACAATTTTCTGGCAGCAGCTGAGTGATGGAGCAGTTGATGTAATTGTTCTGCTGTTAACATCAACTGTAAGTAATGTCCAGCAATGTGTTGGAAACAATTCAGATAATTTTGATGACAATTTCAGTTTAGTCACTCTGACCAGTCACAGAATCACAGAATTGTAGGGGCTGGAAGGGACCTCTAGAGATCATCTAGTCCAACCCCATTGCAAAAGCAGGCTCCCTAGACCAGGTTGTACAGGTAGGTGTCCAAGTGGGTCTTGAATATCTCCAGAGAAGGAGACTCCACAGCCACTCTAGGCAGCCTGCTCCAGTGCTCTATCACTCTTACTGTGAAGAAGTTCCTACACATATTTGCGAGGAAATTTCTATGCTTTGTAGCCATTTCCCCTTGTCCTATCACCACACAATGCTGAAACAAGTCTGGCCTCATCCCTTTGCCTCCTGCATCTTAAATATTTATAGACATTGATCAGATCTCTCTCAGTCTTCTTTTCTCAAGGCTGAACAGACCCAGGTCTATCAGCCTTTCTTGTGAGAAATGTGTTCCAGGCTCTTTATCATCTCTGTGGCCCTTTGCTGGACTTTTTCCAAGAGATTCCTCTCTTTTTTTGTACTGGGGAGCCCAGAACCGGACACACCATTCCAGCCAGCACACCCATGCCAACCATATCTGCCTGCAGAGAAACCTCATAAGAAAATGATGGCCATAAATCTGGGCCAGAAAAGATTGCCTAAGTCTACTTTGGAAAAGGGGGCTAACTTGTTAAATGAAGGCGAAAACATAAATCTGTATATGTATCAAATATAGGTTGAAATTAATTTAGTTATGATGTTAGATAACTGATATTACATTTCCTAATGCAGATAAATCCTCTAAAAGAAATCACTGTTTCCAAATCTAGGTAATCAAGTCTTTTTCAGAAATTATAGGCTTTTACCCTCTTTTTAACAGGATATGAAACTTCAAAAGCAGGTCACATTAGCAGCGATGCCTATTTGCTTGCTTATATGTGATGGAAATATCATCACAATGAATCTGTCTGGGTATTTGGAGAGCTGGTATTGAGAATAAGTTAAAGTAGCTCTGTGTGGAGTCAGAAGTTGCATTCTGTTGTCCTTGTGGATCCCTTCCAACTTCGGGTGTTCTATGATTACATGTAAAGACTTGTAAAGAAGAAGAAATGTCAACAGTACTGATTCTTTTCTCTTTTGTTTATTGTTATTCTTTATACTTGTGCTGAATTATAGAAATTTTCCATTATCCATTATTCTCTTATACTTTTTGTATTTGCTTATTTTTTGCAAAGAAATCAGCCGATGGTCTGAGTCAGACCAATTATATTTTTGTGGAAGAACTGCAATTTACTGTACACATTTTTTTTAATTATAAAATGACTAATATCTTAATTCCTTGTATACTCTTCCTGCAATTAAATGCTTGTTTTTATGTTTGAATGGCATTTGACAACATTTATCAATCCAACATTTATATGTGCCGCAGAATGCAAAAATGTATCTGATGAAATTAGAAAAAATGTATCTGATGAAATTAGCTATATCCCAACAAACACTTTTTCTGACAAACAAAATCCCTGTACAGGCTCAAGTGATGATCAAGTCAGGCTCTACCGCGCTTAAATCAGATATCTGTGATTACATGTCAGTGGACAGAAGCTTCTTTATTAACATAAATTGTATTTTTGCTTGCTTTTAATAGAGAAAAAAGAAGAAAAAAAGTGAGGAATTTGATCATAACTTTTTTCATTTTCAATTTCTAACTTTATCTTGCAGAGCAGAGAACTTTTTGTTCTCACATATGGGGCTTTGGTAGCCCAGCTGTGTAAGGACTATGAAAAAGATGAAGATGTCAACAGCTGTTTAGACAAAATGTAAGTAGCGCGTTAAATTTTCAGCCTCGTTGATAAGGCAATTTGACCACCTGTATATGATCATTCAGCTATATGTCTTCTGTCTTGTGGGTTCCAGCACTGTCGAGGATTATGGACAACGTGGGGGTAAGGTTAAGTATTCTGACAATAGGAATAATTTATTTGTGAATTATGGTGAGAAATTATCTTTAAATTTCAGAAGAAAAGCGTGAGGATTTTTTTGATTGTTTACATGTTCTTTGTTAACTCTTTGATAGCTAATTAATGAAAAAGACTTCTAAATTTCATCTATTTCCATGTACTAATTTTCAACTTCCATATCAACTCTTCTACTCCTTCACATCCACATCATTTCAAACTACTCAAGCTTTTTGCTTTTCACACGTGTTTCCAAGTTAACATAGAATCATAGGCTTGAATTGGAAGAAATCTAAAAGATCATTTAGTTTCAATCCCCTTGCTGCTGACAGGGCTGTTAGCCACTAAATCAGGGACCAGATCAGGTTGTCCAGGTCATCCAACCCGGCCTTGAACACATCCAGGGGTGGGACATCAGCAAGTCTCTGGCTGCCTGTTAAACAATGCATTTATGTATCCACTGTTCATACAGCCTACCTTTGGCTTCCCCTTACCTAGGCTGCACTGTGGTTTTCCGACTTGGACACTAAAAAGTAGTCATACAGCAAGGTGTTAGAAATGTGTTTCAAGTCAATAGACAGCCTCCTTCTTTAGTCATTATACCCTTCCTCGAGGGTATAATTCACATCTCTCAGTTGTGTGCTCTATTAGATTATGAATGCTTTACTCATAATCTAAAAGCTTACAACGAGGCTTTAGCCCAATAGTTGTCCATGGAAGTTAGCAAAAAATCATTGATCTGATAAAGAAAAGGAATTTATTCACAGACTGAAGAGGCTGCATCCCTCAAATCGTAATGTGACTTTAATCCCTCATTCAGCTCTAACAGAAATCATACATTAAAAAAAGAAGAATAAACAAGCAAAGAAACAAAACCACAAAAGCAGACTTATTTCTGATGCTATAGTAGAAATTAGGAAAGGGCATTTTTGAAAGATGCAGAGATATGTATGCTCCTCGTGGTTTTGTTCTTACACCTATTTCTATAAAATCTTTTTGTTTTTCTCATTAAATGGAAAGACTTGATAAAATATTGACAGGTTTCATTGCTGCAATATGAGCACTTTTACTACTGTGACAGTAGAAACAGCCCTGCTTTGGGAAGAAATATTGTAGAACAGCAAATCCGTAACAGATGGGAAAAGTATTCTGATCTCTCCCTCTGTATAAATGCACATACACAATCTGTAGTGAGATGAAGGTTTTTGAGTGTATAGTTGCCAAGTAGCTGCTTGTGAATTTATTATGCTTGTAACTTTCCAAAGCTAATGCATAAAATTTGAAAATAGGCTTGTGCATCACTAATGTACACCTTGCTAACTGCTGATCACTTATTTACCAACTTTATTGATATTGATACTTAAGTGATAAAATTTCATCATTTTCTGATGCATAACATACTGCGATTTTGGACCTCATGCTGCCAAATCCGCATTCTGTCTTGTCATCACATTGAACATCAGATCACTCTTTGGCTTCTTGTCAAAGATGTGTTACAAAACCAGTAAGAAGCTCCACTGACTGCAGCCTGCCTTGTTGAAGGTGTAAGGTCTCCGGCATATAGGAAGAAACTGAAAATATCCACATGCATGAACACGTGAAAACCCCTAAGATCATTTCTGAGTTTGTTGAGATTTTTTTGTAACATTTTTGTCAATTGCATAAACTTTTGGTTTTGTTCCAAAAAATGATTGAAGTGATAATATTTATTATTCACTGTGTGTAACTACTGACTTCTGTTAACATGTAAGAGTTAGAAATGAATATTTTTTTAATGGAAAATTTCATTAACTTCTGTCCTTTTTTACTTTATTTCTCTGAACTTGCAGTATTTGAAATACAAAATAAAGCTAGGGTGCACTGAAACTGTATATTGAATATCCACTTCTGGATTAATTCTGCAATTATTAGATGAAGAGAGAAAACATGTTAGAGAAAAAAAGGGGATTGTGAAGGAAGAATGAAGACAGAGATTAAAGGATAAGAGGATAAAGGAAGTAGATATTTGCTGAAGTCCATGCCAATGCAGGCACAAGAACTGCTACTGAAAGGGGCAATTGCTTTGTTCTTCTTCATAGGGGTGCTGTGAGATGAACTCTGAGGATTGTGCAGGAATGGAGAAATCCTGTCCTATGTTATCCTTCAGTGACAAAAATCAGCCTTCATTTGCATATTATTTATATATTTATATATATTAGACTCACATATGCAGTTTCTTATATATGCAAATACACATATATGCATGAATATGTAGACAACATTCACATTATGCTTTGCTTGCTGGGGATATCATGCTTAAAGGAGCATAGTTCCCCATACAACTACATGAACTACATCCCACTGTGCTGTAAAATACAGCAGAAAGAAGAATCTAGACTACAAAATCTGATGTCCTTAAAGCCATTCATTTAGAAGTATGCTTTATTATTATTATTATTTTTCTAATGGAGAAAGCACATGAAACATATTCAGAGGATGATAGGTGGGAAAGCTATCCCATTTTGAATGTTAACTCTCTCTGTTCTCTTCTTAGGGGGTACGGCATTGGCATAAGGCTGATAGATGATTTTTTAGCTCACTCAGATGTAAAACGGTGTCGCAGTTATTCTGAAACGGCAGACATGATTGCACAGGTAATTAAGACTTATGTTCTTTAGAGCTTTGTTATCCTCAGTTGTTTTAGCTTTTCCTTCTCCATCAGTTTGCTCCAGAACAATGTTACTTACATTTTCTGCTATATGAGAATTGTATTATCTCTACAGTCAAACCCATGCTTCACTTGAGTGAAATATAGCTTTTATCTACAATTTCACTTCAGCTAGTAGCTCACAGAGTTTCTTCTTGAGAGAAGATAGCAGTCTCCAAAGCACCAAAACATAGCACAAAAATTGTGATGCTGAATGAGATAAGAATTATGCAGTTGGTTATGATAATGGTAAGTTTGCTACTGGGTCATCAGAACTACTGAACTGATTCATGTCGGTAGTAGCACTGTATCTGAGTTGAGGACAGAGGTGTCACCAAAATCCAGATACAAAGCTCTCAAAACCAAATGATAGTTTAGAAAGCTGACATTGCTTTATTGCAGCTCTGGGTACCTGGGGGATCTCTTTTCTGGCATGTGTACACAGGAGCTAAAGCACGCTTATTACATACATTCAAAATACCAGTACTCAGACACTTGCCATGAAGATCCCACCCATTCCAAGAATTCCAATATATATGTTAATACATTGCAAAATTTGCAACATCTGGTTTCAGTATTTCAGTCAGCAGATAGTGTCTATCCCAGCCAGCAAAGCCAGGGTGTAAATAAGCATTCTGCTTATTGTTACCCACATTATTCTGTAGCATGCACAACAGACTCTCTAAACCCTTTTATCCTGTCCTTGCCCAGACTCTCTTATCTTTTCTTGTTTAGGCACACTTATCTTGTCTGCTACAAAGTTTTACACAAAGGAAGCCTATTCTTTCTGTTCTTTACATACCAACTAAATTGTCTTTGGTATCAGAGACTGTGGGATACAAGCTGTGAGAGGTTGCTGATCCCTAACCTTAACTGACCTTAAAGTCATTCATTAAGCAATAGCTTAATATAAGCTTATATAAGTTTAGAAGCTAATATTAAGTCCTTCTATGAATCCAATCTTTTCTACTAGCCTATGAGGTATTTTCCATTAGAACAGTGTAATGTTTTCTTTTGTTTGCTGCTGCTTAAGCTGATTTTTTCTGCTCTTTCCACAGAATCTGATGAACAACAACAAAAAAATCAGTTTTACTAGCTTCAAACTGTATATTTCCCTCAATTTTTATTTTCTAGGAACTTATATGGGACAATCAACTCATAACACTTCTTAAAATTTGGTATTCTTATTCTTGCCACATGAACAGCTCAGCATATCCATAGTTTGCTCAGATGTTTTTTAACCGTAGAATGGTAATATTATGAAGAAGCTGATGAATTTTCTGCAAAATAAAGACTCAACGGCAGAAGAGTCACAGATCTAATGATAAAACAAGCAAACAAACAAACCAGTATAGGTACTTCTACCCTCTGATAGAAATTTCCCTCTTATTGAGTAACCTTTCACACTACTGGCAGACAAGAAGATCTAGGAGAAAACTGTGTAGTAATAGGAAGGTTTCTTAAGATACAGCTTTGACACTAGGGTAAGTCCTGGGGAAGCTTGAACAGAAAGCCATAGGATGTCTTGCCCTCCTGTGTTGCAGAGTCACTGCAAAGGAGGTGGTAGTTCACAGAAATGGAGTTGGCTCAGACCTAAACATGCTCAGATCACTGGTCATGTTTCCTTTTGTCTTTAATGATTTTCAGTGTTGTCAGTGAAGATATGCCTGAGCTTTCCCAGTCAGAAAAATTAATCCCCCTTTATAACGAGGAACTGTTAGCTCAGTGGTCATTTGCTGAAGTGGGGAGAGCATGAACTAATTGAGCTGAGATTCATTTCCACGGACTTGTTTTGGGAGATGGAAGTATGTCTGACATACTTTTTGAGAATAATTGAATGTTACCATCAGCTAAATGTGATGTTGAATGCAGAGCTGTGAAACACCAGGCTGTCTGCACAGTGAACATGTGCATGCTAGTAGCATAGACATTTCTCATATCAAAGTGCATTTGAGTAGTACTAGGTGGTATGGGATTCTGCTCACATTCGTGTGAAACCATGACACACCATGTCAGAAATACCCAAGTTACCTCTGTAATGGAGGGAGAGAATTTGTATTATGGGAAATGTTTTATGGGAACTGACAGCTATGACAGAAATATAGGACACCTCTGCTGTTCTAATATGACTGAAAAATTAGTTCACTGTACATGCACACATGCACAACATACACACACACCATGTGCCAAAGTTTAAAGCAAAAGCAGGTGATATTACTAAAAGCCAGTCAGATCCAGTTACCAGTGGAATTTAGGGGACATTAAATTTTGTCTTGAAGTAAAGTGTGTCTTGGAGTCTCAAATGAAGATGATATACTACAGAGATCATTTCTAGGCGACGCTGAGCCTGAGTAGAGGATTCATTGGAGGTTGAATGAAAAATGTAAGGCAAGCAACATTACAATCATAATGCCAAAACATGCTGTCATTAGAAGAATGATGCCAGCCTGCAAAATCACATTTTTGTTCACTTTTATTTCTTTCTTCATCTGGAGTATGTTCTTTGTTGCCTCTGCGTGTTCGTATACATGGTAGATATCCGGTTTGCTGATTCTTGCATTTCCTTGTTTCTTCCTTTTGTAAATTGCTGTAGTATAACTGCATCATCACTGTCCAGTACAGGAGATTTAGAAACAAAATATGGTGAGAAATTAAGGAAAAATACACTGTTACCCTTTTGGTACTTCAAAGGATGCTTATTTCGCTCAGAAAGATTGGAACAAACTTTAAAGCTCAAAGTCTCCTGAAAATATATTTTTAGCAAACTGAAAGAGGAGTTCTGTGGAAAGAGTACATCCCTTCTGAGGCAAAAGAGGAGATGGAAAATACACATTTATTTGGCAAAACATTTTTGAACCAACAATCAAGTGCATTTGTCTGACACACATACCAGCAAAACACTTGCAAGTGATCCAGAAAATAACTGCTAAAGTTGCTGGTTCAAAATTGCATAGCTTTTTACATGTTCTCTTTAAGTCTTCAGTAATGGCAAGGAAAAAAATGCTGAAATATTTAACTCCACTAATTCTTGAGAATGAATGTGTAGGGTAAAAACAGTTAAAAGGTTAAAGTAAGGTTAAGCAGTTAAAGTACTTAAAACCAAACTTTTGTAAACATAGCTGCTATCCTGCAGTCCTTTGAAGAAAAAGGAAGTCTGTAAGGTCACCTCATGGGTATTCACTGCGTAAATCTTCCAAGAGATGAAACAAAAGAGAAAGCATACAGTGAGGAATACAAAGCCAGCCTGCCATACTAGTAAATAAACAGTGAAGGAAAGGTACACCTAAAGCATTCATTTTCTGTGACTAGGGGCTTGAAGCTTTGTACAGTGATTCAGACTGCAGAATCTGGGATTTAGTGTTATTTTATGCAGGACTGGAGGAAGGCCAAAATGGGTTGGCAGTCAACCAAACTAAGTCTTTCCACATGAATTCACATGGTCCTCATTGGCTCCTTGTACTGATGCTGTGACTTTGCATAAACCAAACAGGCCACCTAAAGCCAGTCTTTATGCTCACTGGCAAATTGGAATTGAGGAATAATACTAAGAGCAAAAGCTCAGCTGAAGACGTAACATCTAACACTGGATTCAGAATTTGTGTCTAAGTATAACTGAGGGTAGCTTTTGAAACAGGGATGATAATTTTTCTCTATAAAGTTTGCCTCATCCTTCCTCAGAACTCTTGCATCATTGATGTCTTTGAAAAAAGATGTAAAGAGTAAAGAACTCGATGTTCAGATCTGATCTAGGAATTATGTCACCTTCTATGGCACAGGGCCACCAGGGCTGGGACTCCAACCATGTCATCCTCCAAAGCCAGAACTGTAGGGAAATAGATGAGATTCCCTTTCCCACTGGAGTCCTGCTGCACGAGACCACTCTGTATTGGCAAATGAATAGCAGAACGACTTGGATTGAAAGAGTTATAAAAGATCATGTAGTTTTAGTCCCCTGCAACCCCATTGCCATGGGCATGGCTGCCAACCACCAGATCAGGCTGCCCAGGCCCCCATCCAATCTGGTCTTGAACACCTCCAGGGACAGAGCATCCACGGCTTCTCTGGGCAGCCTGTGCCAGTACCTCACCAACCTCACATTTAACCTAAATCTTCTCTCTTTTAGTTTAAAGACATTCCCCCTTCTCCCGTCACTTTTATATATGGTAAAAGTCAGTCTCCCTCCTGATTATAAGCTCACTTTAAGTACCGGAAGGCCTCAATGAAGTCTCCTCAGCACAAGATACCATTGCTTTTTTCAGGCTTCAAGAGCATACTAATGACTTATGTCCAGCTTTTCATCTATCAGGATCCCCAGGTCCTGCTCTCAGTGAGATCTCACAGTCTGCACACATGACAAGGATCCAAGTTGCAATCCAAGTGCAATACCTTGCACTTTGCACTATGCCAGCAAAAAGTTACTTTGGCTGTCTTTTCCCTTCTAAGTAGATCAATTAATGTTCTTGATTAATCTTTTTGATATGTCATCTGATTTTATGGTTTTGGTTTTTAAGAGTGTGTTATCACTTACTTTGCAACACTACTTAAGCATACAAGGCTTTGTAGAGTTGTAGGGAGGAGTCTCCAATAGTATCAGGAGCTGGGAAGTTAGTGGCCTCCTAACTGCTTTTCATAGCTCTACACTGCTTCTGTGCACTAACAAAATTTGACTGAGCTTTAGCCATGCTGCTGAAGAAAGATGGGCTGCAGTATGAGAATCTGAAAAAAGGTTGGGGTACACTTTAAATGCTGACTGCATAAATTCCTTGTTTAATGTTAAGTAACGTATAAGCCCAAAGAGTTGCAAGTCACATTTTCAAAAGACAGTTCTGCTTGTTTTTCTTCATGTGGGTTCAGTGATGATGAACATATAGGCTCATAGATGACAAGCCGATATATTCATCTAAACATATATTCTTTTTTATTTTATTTCATTTCATACAGATGGCA